AATGCCAATTCGGTCGCAGCGGGAAGCTCCAATAGTTGTTCCTTGAGGATGTCCGCTCCCTGAAGCAGTCTTTGATCTCCAGCACGTTCCTGATTCTTCAACGCCACCAATTGAATCATACTAGGTACCTATACTGATGGACTTTGAAGAATGCGCAGCCTCATCTCAAACAATGAACATGTCCAGATAAGGTGTCCGCCTCTAGCTCGGTAATCCTCTCCTCGTCGCCCCGAGGAGTAATATCCGCCGTCGCCGTCATTCCTGTATCACACAACGCCTCATTAGAAGCTTCAAGGGCTGCATATTGGGTGGACATAGTAGCCCTACGTTTAGCGACCCCTCGACCGGTACCACGCTGGTTTGTGCAACCTCGTCGAGACACCGCGACCCAGAGCGGGTTCGGCGCTGGGGTGGGTACGACATCGGGACTAGCCGAGAGCACCACGTGGTAGGTCTCCCCGCCGCTGATACGTGAGCTGACATCCTGCACACATGTAGCAATAGCAGAAGCGAGACCTTGTTCTGTCGCGCATAGGTGCACCTAGGGTGGCTTAATAGACGATTCTGCCACCCTTTTCGCTTGGTCCTGCAGGCAGATCCGTTTAGTTGCCACATCCTCTATTTCTTTGAAGTTGTGAAATGGAACAGCGAGATTCTCGAGATTCAATACTCCCTCTTCGGATGCAAGCACACACCCCAAACCGTGTAACTGTTTGGCGGAATATTTACATCTTGAATGGAGTGACCAAGCTTTCCGCACACCAAGAACTGCAACCTCAGCCCCACCTCAAAATGCTTGTGAACGATGTAGGTCCCATACCAGCCAATGCGCACGATCCCGCGAAGAAAATCGGGGCAACCGGCCAACTGGCCTATTTTATATACCGTGGAGGTGCGAGCGTTTGATGTGCACGCGTCCAAGTTCTTCAGCTACACCTCAGCGCTAATATGTTCTGTGAAAAAGCGGTAAGCCGCCCGATGTCCATAAAACTTGTGACGTTATACAGCAAGACGATGTATTCTGTTTCCGTTGATAGTCGCGTGCCGTAAAATCTACACTGTCAAATCCACACTGACCCCGCGCTCGGATCATGCGGATTGTGAAGCCGATACAGACGACGTCTGAGCGGGACTTTCGCGCGCTGGAATTTTTTCGCCGCAGTTTGGGTAAAGAAAAATAAATGGAGGACCGTTGACCCTTGTTATAAATGTTTGTCTCAACTTGACTCAGCATCATATGTAGGTCTTCTAGGATCACTTGTAATCCTTTTGCCGCCAGCAATATGCCTTCCTTCAACTCTTGAGTATGCTGTCGGCTGGCGGTGATTGTTCCAGATTTAGCTAGAGAAAAAGACAATTCACCCTCCACCTGCATCTAGATCGTAGTCTGAAACCTCAAGCGGTCCTTCGCAGTAAAATTGTTTTTGAGAGAATGTTGCAGACCCCGGCTGACGATATGCCCCTCTGCCAAACCCTGAATGATTTTCCAGTTATCTTCGGATCCAGTTTAGAGGCGCGGACCCGATCTGTCTCGACCCGGAGATGCACATATTGCCCTCAGCCATTCAATTTTTATCGCCGCATACTTGGATGGATTTCACATAAACATTAGGGAGAGTTAGGACCTTGAGCCTGTGGCAGCAGATTGACCGGACAACAAAATACCCGTTACTTTTGCTGCCCATTGATTCAGCACATGTTTCCTCGCTCACTTGACTTTTCTGGTCATTCTCTCGAGAATGGTCGATAGAAACGATAAATAGTTGCACAGACGCCGACATATTATACGGGCATACTTACACCATTGTACATTTGTGAAGCCATCCACGGCGCTCATTATAAAAACAATCTCAGATTGTTGAGCCGACTCGGCCCCTTTCAACTTCGGATACCGCCGCCGAAGCAGCGGTACTCGATCGGAGTGTATGTTGAGCGCCGCCATCTCAGCCGCAAAAAATCCGCCGCATTGGCTTTCCACGCCTCTCGTTGAATCATCTCTGGTGCGGCTCGGAGTTCTGCCGTCACCGCCGCAAATCTCTGCTTGTCACTCATTTGCAGAGGTAGAACGGTCGCAGGCCCACTTGGACTAGTCATGTCCACGCTCCGCTGCGCAGAAAGAGGGGCCCCGTGCCTACACCGCCGCGGGCCGATCGCCTGGGGTCGGCCCCTTGAGTCTGACATCCCCTTCTCGCTTGGTTCTGTCGTCGTTGGGCCGCCCACTGGTATACACCTCTCTCCCTTCGCTTGAATACCCGCACTGGAAATATTTTCTACTTCCTCACGTGGGTGATCCCCCGAATTACCTTCTTCCCCGGTGTAGAGAACACCGCCATAGGATCCGCTGAAGATCTGCGGACTGCGGCTGGGGGACCCGTCGTCTTCTTCCCCGCGGCGCTGAGCCAAGGGTCCCGCCTCCTGCCTACTACCCCCGGGTCTCGATCAAATAGCTCTTATGGAGCCGCCCCGCCCCCTAAACCTCCAGTGGTACCTTTCATCTAGCCCGGATCATCACCCGCCGCGGCTGTTGACGCTTCCGTTTTAACGGACTAATTACGGGTAGCCCGGGCCCTCAGTCAAATCTCTGCTCCGTTCACGGAGATATGAAGAGTGATTACTTCTATTTGCAAGAGTAAATTGCCTGCAAGACCGCAGGAGGCTGTCTTGTTGCTGAGCAGAGCGACGTTTGCACACGGACGACAAAGCAGCAGCTGTTACTTCTCTTTCGCAGCAACTTGAACCTACTCAGTCGATCGTCAATGGATGTCGCACGATCGTTCTAAAGGACAATTACCGCGTATAACGGGGTTACACGTCGACTGGTAGTCGACAATAGGTGTGGTGCACACAAGGGATGGGATCCCCTTTAAAGTGATATTAAAACACAGTATCAATTGTTGAAGACTGATGTCTGCCAACCATTGATTACGAGATCTTTTGGGAGGTTGATTTAGGACATTAGCGAGTAGATAAATTGCGTTGTTCCACGGTGTTCTTTTAGGTTAAAAGAAGAAATAAAGTCCAAATCCCATTTTGATCCGATAGACACGTGCCTCTTTGAGGCGTCTTGTGATCGTTAGGGGAGGTAGCGACGCCTTAATAAGGCAGCTACTCCTTGTGCACTCTGTGCGTTGATTCTTTGAATCGTTTGGTCCCCCTGGAACAGGGACCGTAAGCTCTCTGAGCTTTTTGACTCTCTGAGTCGGGTTCTTTGACCAAAACTTAGCTTTCTGAGCTGTTGACTCTTTGAGTCGTGTTCTATAAACTTTAAGTTGCTCGTTGAGCGTTAAAGTCTTCCTCTGTCTTAAGGAGCTGTGTAGGTCCGCTACACCGCGACTCGACCATGTGAGCAGGTGCCATGAAACGGGGCACTGGTTGACTACGTATTGGTTGACCAGTACGGATCTCACTTCCGCTGACAACAGTGATAGTCAGTGCCGTGCTAAGTGTTGCACCAACCTAGAGGAAGGAAAGGAGACTAGTGAACACTCTTATCTCCAATAAAAGTAAAACTGTCATTTAATAAAATTAAGTCCTATCAACCTTATGTCTCTGTTTATCCTAAATTAATCATATTAATCTAACTAAACGTATGACGACGTCTACTCACTACCCATTGCGCGCGTCTAGCAGCTATTGTTGGGTTGATATCATCACGATATTAACCAATGAGTAGACCCTTCGGTCATCTTGAACAATACCATCATGCTCTGTGATATTGTTAGAAGAATATTCAACGTAATATTATTTTTGTCATTTTAGCCTTAACGACAATATCATGTAAGGGGAAACCGCGTTTCATGCCACATGTACACATTGAGGTACCTGTGTCTGTTTAAATCCGACCTCTGGAAGATTTTTGCCGACTTTTTGTATCTGTCAAATGTGTATTGACCTGATCAGGTGCTCGGAGTCGCTGCGGTCGATCTTTGACAATACAGCAGAGCCGGACAAGCGCAAGCTTAGCATTTATGATCTGATTTATACTGCAAGAAACGATCGCTCGTGCGCCGACGTGTTTTGTGAGCTCGTTGAGGAAGGCGACTGTCACCGCGCACAACTTGTGTCGTCTCAGATAGACGCTGTTGATGCGACGGTTGGTCATTGACGAGGCGTCTGGTAGTCGTTCTGTGGGGGCGGCTGTAGAATCAGTTGCCACTTACGGGTTTGTGTTTGTTCGGATGCAGTGTAGAGGCCCACTGCTGCGCGAAACGAGACGGACAATACCATCATGGACGAGCATTTCTGCCTGACAATTGACTCGCACATGATTTTCGTGCGCATTAGAGACGAGAAGATCATCGTGCAGTGAGGATCGATCAAGAATTCGAATGCCGTCATTTCAATCTACCCAGAGTCCACTGAAGATTTGACGGATCCCGGTGTGGATGATCAGCAAGAGAATTATTTATTAAATAGAGGAAAGGGAAGTATAAGGGGTACTTATGAGGGGGGTGTACCGGAAGATGAGAGCGGAAGTGATGCGCAAGGCTGTGTGTGTGCCGACACAAAACAGGCTTGAATTACGGAGGGGTGTGTACAAGGCAAAGACTATTTATAGGGTATTTTGTATGTATAAGTGTGCAGGACCTAGTTAGGGAGGCTACGGGATTTAACGAGAGGCTTCTATTTCAGGGGTGTGTGAACGTTTGAAAGGGTAAGTGTGCACCTATAAGTCTGCTTGGAACATTGTATACCTCATTGCAAAAGGGTCCATTACTTGGTAGTGCTTTGTATGGTCAAACAGCACGACAAAGAACAGAATAGATCAGCTGACGTGGTACAGGCATATCCACCTTAGACATCCCAGTGTACTCTGCGACACCCCAACATGTTCTGCGTCGCAGTCCCAGCGTCTTTTACGAACAGAGCGAAGCACGTGGAGCGTCAAACGAAGACAAAGCCACTACAGCCACCTTCCAGCTCGTGTCGCTCCAGCACCAATCTCACATCGTCTCCAACGCTGACACAAGGAGCCAAGAGGACTCGTTTCTCCGACCTTCTTACTGCTTTTCCAGTTGCTTCACGTACTTGCGCTTGACATTGTCCATCCACGTCAGTTGATCCAGCGTCACGGCACCTTGTTGTGCGTGGACAAACAGGCGCGACGGCTTGGACTCGTCCCGTGCCTCGTTGCCCCCATCAGCTGGTTGCATGAAAAAGGACGTACGCAAGGCGTCCTGCTTGGCGCTGCGCACGTCGATCTTGCCCGTCGACGTCGCGGCCGCCACTGCTTCCTCGCGCGCACAGAGCTGACCCGTAAACACCGCATAGTCGGCATCCACCTGGTCCATGTCGCTGCGCTCGAACACACACTGGTCTCCCACGGTAACGCTCGTGCCATGCAGCTCCACGTCCATCGACGCCGCAGGTTGCACCGACACGTGCACGTCCCCCGCAACGACAATGCGACTGTAGCTGTCGCTCGGCCACGAATCAAAGTGCGCCGTCACGTGACACGCGCGGCCGCTGTCCTCGACGTCGATCGTTCCCGAGACGCTGTCCACTTGCAGACGGTCCAGTCCCGCGCTCTTCACCTGCAGGTGGCCGTGCACAGCGCCCACGTGCAGCTGCGACGCGCCCCTCGACGCCTGTGGGGCCACCGCAATGCTGCACGAGGCCGCGTAGATCGCGCCTAGCGTCGAGCAGCGGGTCGCGCGGCCCTTTCCCAGCTTCACGCGCGCCCGGCGGGCCAAGAGGCGCTGGCACTGGAGCCCGTCGCGCGCGCAGAGGTCGACCGTCTCACCTTCGACGAGCGCCGCGACCTCGAGCGCGCCGTGATTGGCTGATAAGCGCACCCTCGGGCCCCGCACTTTGTGCACGCAGAGGTCGCCGTGTTGCACGACCACCTTCACGTCACCTTCCACCGCGTCGCGCAGTGCCACGCGCCCATTGGCTATAATGACGTCCAGCGCCACGCTCCGCGGCACCACGAGCTCGAGCGCCACGTCGACTGCGTCGGCGGTCTTCTTCACGAGCCGCAGCGACTGCGCGTCGGCCGCCACGTTGACGTCCACGCGGAACAGCTGCTCGACGTCCGTCTCGTGGCCCGCAGCTGTCCACGCGCGCGCTTCGACGTGCGCAGCGGCGCTGGCGGTCGACACGGGAACGATCGTCACGTCCGTACGCGCGGCGTCAGAGGCGCGCAGCGTCACGCGCGTTGTCGGGTGCGCGAGAGAGAGCGACGCCGTTGAGGCGACGGACAGCGCGCGACGGGACGCGTGCGACGGGCGCCGGAGCAGGTGCCGGAAACACGCGGGGGCCATGTGGACGACGAACGATAGTCAGTCGTAAGCGAGAGACGAAGAAGACGGAGGAGGAGGAGGAGGAGAAGGAGATGGTCAAGCGCACGTGCGCGAGGGAAGAAGACGTCCAATCACGCGCGAGAACGAGAGACGAGTCGACAGCAGTGAGATAAATGAATGGTGGGGCGCTGGGCGGCGGTTTCGGGCGGAACAACATAACGGACTGGACCAGTGGCCGCGATGTCTTGGACGGGTACTTGGCAGGTCTGCTACGCAGGCGGTCGGTGGGATGGATTGATGCCTATTGCGATGGAGAGGAGTGTGGCGGTACGGTCTGCAAGGCGCGGCGCCCGACGTGTCCGTCATGACGATGGAGTCGAAGTAGGATGAAGATGAAGCGGCTTTGAAACGTAGGAGAGATCGGCAGTCGTGAAGAAGTGCACGTGTCGTCCATCGAACGACGGCGGGGAGTTAACTAGTGACGTACCGACCGTGACGCCACTCGGTCTGACGATGTTTGTCGACGGCGCCGGGTACGACAAGTGAACGCTAAGAGGTATGTGACGGAGACTTTTACTTCCGACGACGACAGGACCTGTCGGTCTGCTGCAAAAGTCGGTATCTGACGACAGGTAGACTGCGGCTAGGACACACTTGGCTACATTGATGTGTACATAGACTGCCATTAGGACACGTTTCATCACATTGAGCTGTACGCGACCAAGTCGTCTGCGCGGTGTTCACCGACTAGACGAAGATACTTGGACGCCAAAGGCTTTAACAGATAAAGCGGCCCAGGATAAGATAGTGACATCGACGGTTGTCTGAGGAACGCCGTTATAGAAGCAAGCTGGAGGGAAGCGGGATCGGGCGATCATCATCGCTTCACGATTGTACAATGTGCTGGGAGAAACGTTCGAGAGAGGTCGCACAACATCAAGTGCAATTGCCACCGCACACGACCACGTGAGGAGCGCCCTGTGCCAACAGCGCAATAGCTATGATGAACTCGGACATCGTGAGATTGCTTCGCATGTGCTCGACGAATTGTGGTCTTATGCGACGATGGTCGGCGCCAATCATTAGGGAAGATAGTATTGTGGCATCGATCGATCACGATGAGGTGATAGTCGACTGCGACAACTGTCGGCTGAGAATGGCTCCATGTTCACGAACAGCTGACAAAGTCACCGAGACCAGGGTGTGTCTGCGAGCATAGATCATCAAGACGTCATCCGACCTGAACGGGGTGCATGTGTCAGTACTTGACGAGTTAGTGCATGCACGATGATACGAAACCGATATAAAGACCTCTGGCTCATGGCAGGATCACGAGTTGTTGTGCGCATTTTGTATTTGGTGGATACAAACAAGCTTCTTGGTATGTCCATAGCATGCGTCGGTCGACGACGGCTTTCGAGCTACATCTCATTGAGGAAGAAAAAAACGTGCGCGCAAAACAAGCTGCTGGTCGACCGCCAGAGTGAGCACTGCCGCTACCAGCGACAAAGCGCAGATTACAGGTGTGCGCTAGGGTGTAGGTGTCCAGCAACAACAAGTCTGAACACGACAGAGGGTTCATACATTTCTATAGAAGTTGTCAGCAAAACATCTTCACGTGTTCGATCGAACATGCTAGGAACATTACCTCAGCTAGTTTCGCGGTCGTGGAGATCTACATCGAGGCCCTGACGCTTGGAGTTTACGGAACCTGATCCTCCTAAAAATACTTGCGGTACACCGCCTCGATGGATCTCATTATTTCCTCGTCTTGCGTTGGATGCATCTCCGAGAATTCGGTGCACAACAGCTCGTCCGACTTGACCCCTTCCGCTTTCCAATGCAGCAGCAACACTTTCAGATAGTCACCAGCCTTCGGACTCTCGGTAGAGACTAGGGCTTCATAAACAAGCTTTGCAAAGTAACCCTCTCCTCATAATGCTTGCGGTACACCGCCTTGATGGATCTCATCATTTCCTTGTCTTTCGTTGGATGCATCTCCGAGAATTTGGTACTCAACAGCTCGTCCGACTTGATCCCTTCCGCTTTCCAATGCCGCAGCAACGCTTTCAGATAGTCACCGGCCTTCGGACTCTCGGTAGAGACTAGGGCTTCATAAACAAGCTTTGCGAAGTTACCTTCACCACCAAAACCTTTCGTCAAAACGCTCAGCGCGTTTTCATGTCCAAGCGCCTTCGCGTACTGCTCCACTATCAGCAGTTCGGCGCTGTTAAAGACCAGCGTTCCCTTGTCTTTCAAAGCCAGCATCATAAATGCTCCATCGGCATCCAACTTGTACCCCTTCCATTTCTGCATCAAAAGTCCCATCAATTTTTGCGCATCGGCATACTTAGCCGATCTCATCAAGATAGCCGCCAATTCGAGGTCGCCAAATATGCCCTGCAGCGTCTGAAAGAGGACAGGATAGATCTTGTCCTCCGAGTGCGAGCGCGCAATAAAGGCGCGTAGCACCTTTATCTTCAGGTAGTCGCTTTCCCCGGGAAGACTAGGGTCTTTGAATATCTTCAGGGAGGCTGCCACGTCATCGATGGGCATTTTTTTCATCCACCAGTATTCCAATAAGTCGCCCAGTAGATCGCGTGCACGCGTACTGGTGGCAAGGTCTTTGTCATTTTTGGCTTTTTGTAGCCCACTTGCTAGCACGTCAATGCTGTACTTGGACTTGTACGAGCGCAGTTGCGATTTCAAACCAAAAAATCGGCTCGCTTTGACTCCTTTCGACAGCTCTGCGAGCAGTTCCTTTTCGTTAGTAGACTTTTTCTTGGACCTGACGCTAACCCGAGGCATTGACGCGACGACGGATCCCGGGACCGCCTTGGTTATATGATAGAAAACGCGGGCCGCTGCCCCGATGCCATCCCTTATCCCCGACGCCCGCAATCGTCTGCGAGCAAGGACAACGTCGTGGCTGCCATGCGCCGGATCCGGATGGTCGACATTAGAATCAGAGAAGCCTGATACCCCGGAGAGGTGCCCAGGGTACGCTAGGGAAGCTGCAAAAGCTACGAGTGCGATGAGATTGATGCGCATGAATACTTGGTACCGAAGGCGACCGTAGGTGTGGTGGAGGGAGAGGGAATGACGGAGTGACGAAATAACAAAGCTGAAAGCCAGGTGCATATCGCGCGCGTATAGAGCGCCTCGCTGGCTCTATACGCGCTGTCTACCGCCAAAAGGGCTCATCTTGTGCGTTCTTCAAATCGCTGCTGGTTTGCGATGTGGTACGCTGCGGCGGAGCAATTGCCAATAGCTTCCGTGTACTGCAGCACGACTGAGCTATTGAACAGAGCTGTAAGGTTACAGGAAGCTGTGAGCACGGATTTCCATCCGTATGGGCGCTTTCCAAACTGCTGCTATAATGATAGAACCGAGAACGATCTTCGGGATGCAGACTGATTCCTGATGTGCGACTTCCCAAACGCACCCGCCAGTCAGAGTTTGACTGCTGTGATCAGCTCGAGGAGGCACCTTCTGTCATCAGCCATCGGGTGGGAATACCGTTTTACTCATCTGTCCGTCAGGGCGAAGCAGTAGAGCGCCGGAGGCAACACAAGTTGAATCAACTTCCCTTGCGTGGCTACCAAAAGGCTCTACAAGACGCGAAAAGCAGAGCCGGGCATCTTTTTGACTGCATACTTCTCGATGTGACCGTCGCCAGCACGAGCAGGGCCAGGTGTGTGACAGAGTCAGTGCTATTGACTGCAAGCCTTTCCAGTTCCATCAGCAAAAATAGTGCATGCTGCATCAAAGTCTGTGGTAGCGCGTAACAAATCGTTCACCTCAAACACGTCCATCCGACTGATGCTCTTATGGTGAGTAGGTACTCACACACTATCGATATCGATTGCATATCCACCAGTCGGTCGTGCATGCGAAAGCGTCGTATGAACACAATGCAATATAAACGCTTGTGATGTGTGGAGTTGCGTAATGCGAGGGGAATATATGTAGGGTCTTCGCTCGCTATATAAGTCGCCAATCAAAGCCTACTGAATTCTTTTGACCATGCCGTAGTGATCACCATATGGGGCATTGCTAATCGTACAGTCGCGCATTGCTAAACGTCGATCCGCCCATAAATCGATCGTCATATCGCGCGTTACTTTCGCTTCTTTACGCATCACTGATCGCCCGTTTGTTGAGGCGCTACTTCGACAACACAAAAAAAGACCCAGAAGAGTGGGCTGCGAACGGTGCTACTGAGATATGTATGTGCTCGTGATGACATGGACCTTGCTATTGACCAGACGGTATCGAAAGCGCACATATCACCCGAAGCTAAGTAAGAGCTCCCCCGTACAATGACAATCGTGTACATGGTGTGGCTTATGCTGGTGATGGCCCTCAATCTTTTTTGGAGAAGTTGGTCAATTCTATTGGCTGCATCTTGAAAGGACGATCCTATCAGTACACATTGAACCTCTACTTTGTTTAGTACAAGCTTTCTGCTATCCGACGGATGCTGAGGTCGTAGCGCGTGTAGAAGTGTCGAGGGAGGAAGATAATGTAGAGCTTTAGACCACTGGTTTTCGATACGACCTATATTTTGCGCCGTCTTATTTTCCTGCTGGAATGTGCAAGCAATGACATGGAAATTGACCAACGAAGCGTGATATGGCAAGAATTAGGTTGCTGATACGAAGGAGGTGAGACTAACAGACTCTCTGTCAAGCAGCACATTGCAGCAACTTGCACATGCCATTAGCTGCGACCACGCAATTCCACGAAGTGTGAGCTGAGCATCTTCTATGCTCCCTGTTCATTTTGCCGAGGCATCCAAAGCTACCGCTTAACAAGGCATCGACCGTATGCTCGTTTTACGTCGCCAAAGCGGAAGACATCAGGCGTTCACAAAGAAGACAGCGTATCGCTTTCATCGCGATAGCTTATCTTGGAAAAAGAAAAATACAGCTACAAGTAGCTGGTACACTATGCAGTATGTTGCTTCGGTGCGACCAGTAGTTGGATAAGATATAGCTCCATGAACGCAAACTCGTTACCCAGTGTGATGCACTACGCGGCTTGTGTGAGCGTTCTACATCCTAAGACTTGCACAGCTATCGACTGCGTAGTCTGGATAAGGCAGCTGCCTAAGTGACGGCACCAGGTTACGGTCACGTTGCCAATCCGAAAGGTGTCACTCGAAGAGCAAAACGCCGATACGTCAGGGCGCGAGTTGGTCCACCGTCCAGAGCTACGAATAGGTGATATACCATAAGGATCGAGAAGGTTTGCCGGATATAGTGGGTCGTTCGCGTACCCGAATATACCTCAACAAACCTTCACTCTCTCTAAGGATTGAGAAGGTAAAGTTTACACAGCAGATCCAAGCCAAGCCGTTGTGGCGTGTTGTAAACACACTAATCGTCCGATCAAAGCTGCTCGTACGAGCAACTTTGGTCTTGATAGTCGCTTCAGTGGCAGCAACAAACAACATTGTGCATCAGTCGTACTGCGACGCATCAAGATGTTGACGTAAAAAGCCACGACGCTTGCTTGATAGTCAAAGTTGTCGCTGATTTCGCGAGCAAAGTGCTCACAAGACGCTGCGCCCGGCTGGCAAAGTCGCTTTTTTACGGCCAAAACGACCATGTACGACTCTTCTGTACGACCGTTCATTCACCTTGCAAGCACCACGTAGAACGCAGAAAAAAGACCATACGCCCGGGTATCGATCACGACGAGCTCCATGAATGAGCACGCAAAGACAAGCGCAAGGACGAAATCTTCGCACGATGCACTGCGTCTTCCTTGTCGGCACATCACTTGCAAAACGTTAGCATATCAGTTAGCATTGCCTTGACAGCCTCGTGTCAGCTGACACAGGTTTAGGAAGACATAACACCAGTTACACGCTTCGTCCTCCGGATGTTAGCTCCGGAGACCCCGTCGATAGGTCGGAACAACGCAAGACGCGGCAGATACCGTTATGGGCGTGCTGGGCTGCAAATCGCTAGACCCGTGTGGTGAGACAACGGCAACCACGACGCATGGGGAAGAGAAGGATACCAGATGAGTTGTTTCAGCCGTGTCTGGACGATACTGAAGCCGCGGAGTCTCTCATAATCGATCACTGAGAATGATCAAGCGGAGCCGTATGCCGTGGCGTAGGAGACACCAGCGTCCGAGGCGGGTTTACCTTCTGCAGTTACTCGAGATCGGGTCAGACTGACTGTGAACACACGGGGCGCCCGTAGGACAGCCCATTGACGTGTTTTAGTCACATGAGATGTACGACTCAGTGGTAGCAGCTCGGAAAGCAGCTCCTCAGGAAGCTATAAGGAAAAGCCTGGATCGTGGCTCCAATGATAGCAACGCTCCACGTGAATGCCTACAATTCTGTGGACATCGATATGGAGCTCATATCGTTGGTAAAGCAACGCTATCCGAAACTTCGCAACGACGAGAAAGAGTTTTTGTGCACGTCTCTTTAAAGAGCATGTATGGTCGAAAGAACATTACCCGAAGGCTGCGAACCAGACTCTGTACAACATCAGCCGGTCCTTCGATAATATCCTGCACGGCATGCCTAGCAAGGTAAGACGAACATCGTGCAAAGATCTCAATCAACGGCCGCACTCCACGACTGATCTCGACTCACGAGGAAGACCTGGAAGCACACGAGCCGCGTGGTACATACTTGGGCTTCATCTTTAGCCCTGTCGTGTACTGGTTATCACAATCTTGGAGATAGAGGGACCTTTGCCAGCTATCACTGGCTGCGCAAATGTGGCGTCGTCTCCGAGCTGGCAGTTTGGGTGGGTGGAAGGTTCTTAGGGGGCTAGCAGAGGGAGACGTCTTAAGTCGGCGGACGCCCGATTTGGTGAAACATCTCTCTGATTACACGGAAGGATGCGACAGCACCGGAATACATACGTACACGTGGAAGGTGGACTACACTGCAGCTGCGCAGTGAAACGAACGTTGGAGTGTGCAGGCAGAACACCATCTCGATTGACGAAGATATCCGTATAGCGGCAGAACGGTTGTGGGCAAAGAGGAGAAGCTGCGAAGCCTACTCATGGTCAAGACCATCAGTTTCGATCCCGTTCATCGCCGGATTCACATGTACTTTTGATCGGGTGACTGTGCGCGAGTACGACTTGTTGACGGTAGTGTTGCTATCGCGGTATGGCATTCTCTATACAAGAGAATGACATACGGCGATAGCAACATGCCTTTATTGCACAAGGGGTCCGTCTGGGCTCGATAGCTGGGTAGTGATGGGACTAGGATGACGTCGAACGAGATTACGATGTAATGCTGGTGATACAAAACAAGGATATCAATTGCTAAACGATTGTTTGCAGTGCAATTGCTCGAGAGGTTGAGTTAGACGATTTGGACATACGTGCATGCAACTGAAGCAGGTTTAACTTATCTGAAGCTAACCGTGGAAATAGCATTAGTAGCATTTCACTGTCTGCAAACTCACCGTGAAAGTAGGAACAATTTGGTATGGAAGGACGATGATCGTTAAGCATCCGGACGTCAAGCGTCGCCTTCATGTTTGCACCGTTGCAACTATACATCACGCACTGGCGAGGGTCGTTTTTAGGTATAATTGCTGAGCCTGCGTGTCGGGATAGCTACAGAGCACGATAGCTATAGAGCAGGATAGCTATGGGTCAGTAAGTTTCCGGAAGACTTGGCTACGCCATTTGTCAGCCCGGAAGAGGACTCAATAAATGGCGGCCTGCCGACTTGGTGAGGGTCAGAACGGGTCAAGGCACAGGGGTCTGTGGAACGGTCCCTGATATCTACTGAACTGTGGCTACGTCCCAGTTGAAGCTGACACCACCGGCCGACATTTAGCCACCACTAAGTGTTCTATCGACTGACCCGAAACCGAAAAGGAAGTAGGCTTTATCTCCCCTGTGTCGCGTCAAAAGATGTTATTCGCGTCCCCAGTCATCAGCAAAGTGTTCCATTGCCCCTGCCACACTTCCCTCATCTCGAGGTATAGTCTGATGACGATGGCGACGACGATGAATTTGCAGATTTTCGTTGGTCCTACCTCCCGCCACTACGATTTCGACACACTTTTATACCGCAACGAGCTGAATACGGGTATCCTACTTTTACAGAAGTGGATGAGGCGCGCTTCTCGTCACGGCAATCCCACCCACACTTTCAGCAACACCACAGCTATAAACGCGGGGGCAAAGAAAACGTGCAGCTTTGAATACATAGGTGAATAGCATGCTCCTACGCAGAAGATCGAAACTGTCTGTGGGCAGCATTGCCCCCGATCACGCGACGGGTTTACCCGAGCTTGCAGCGGCGATGGGCATTAGACCTGTGACTACATCATCATTCGAATAGGTGTATGACCATGGCTCAAGTCCAAGGTGTTGCTGACTATGGCATGGCAGCAATGGAAGCTCGCACCGAAGCTTTCACAGCATGTATCAAGCGAGGCATTCGGAGGTCAGATTGTCATTATAATGGGATCAGTTTCATTCCCGCGTACGAGCCGCTGCCTTCATATCTCTGGGGCACGAGTGGATATGCATGGATCCGCGAAGAACCTACAAGCAGTCTAATTGGTACTTGTATAATACACCGCCACACCCTCAACCGGACAGACTTTGATCGTGCGCTGCAAATGAGTATGCAGTGAAATTTATTGACGGCAGCCGTTTTTTTCAGGCGAAATTTAATTGATAGTAGCCACTTTCGCACGCGAAATTTAGTTGACCTCGCGAAAGAAGCAGACTGACGCAGATAGACGTCAGACAGGAACATGCTTTACGTATCGCCCGAGCACCACCACGAGAGACGAGCAGATCTGTCAGATTGAGACACATACCTCGCTGGAAGGATTGAGGTTTATTATATCGATTCGCCTGCTAGCCTTCTCGACGAGCAGCTGCTGCTGATTGTCAGCTTCTAAGGTGAACATGATTCCGCTAACATGCACCCTATCTCACCCTACGCATGAGCCACTGCTGACTACGAGTAGCAATATCCGTTACAGGCGGTCCAGCTGATCCGATAGATCTATGAAGAGGCACGCACCTTCAGCTCGTGATAGGCGGGAAATTAGCGGGATCCTGGGCAGCAGCAGTCTCAGCTTTCCACAGTAATTAACAATTCAAGCTCGCGTATGGAATATGGTGACGCAAGCACTTTGTAAAGCTCTCAGTCTGTGGCTATTTCAACCATCCGGACTGAACACGAACAACTGTGCATCACAAAAATGGGTGAAATCCACGACTTCGGTGCAAGGATTACATATATGGGGGGTCGTGTGCACAAAGGTTAGACGTTTAGACATTTAAAGTAGGTTGTCAGGCAGGACATGGGTATGTCTACCGACAGATCAGATGCTTCGTCCTCTTGGTCTAAATTCTAGCGGAATTACGGGGACCCTGTCCAGCGTTGGCGACAGATGCGCCTCCCCATGAGCACAGCAGCATCGACGTATGGATAGAGGCACATTTGGCGAGAGCCTAGGTTGTAACGAGGCACGCTCTTACCAGATGACTGGTAAGACCTTGTGTTGACTGACACAAGGCTGGGTGCTCCCGACGTCACGTACACGTGGCGTGAGGAAGCGCGACGAAGTAAACAGAACTCGAAAGCTCTGTTTAAGAAAAAAGTAGAACTGTATCTAATACAGTTAAGTTTCTTCGCAAAGCATCTTTGTCTTGATCGAACGATATCAAACTACAACCATCTATGTGGGTTTCTTGCTCACCACTCCTTGCGCGCGTCCAGCAGCGATTGATTGTTGATTTGGTTGATGTACACGGTATATCAACCAAGAAGTGGAGCACCCAAGAATATAACCCTCGGGGGGAATATTCCGTCAACATCACCTCTTCTCGAGTGATGTCGATTGAATATTATCAGAATCGATAATATTCAAAAAATGATACATTCAAATCAATTTTTATGTAACGGGCTCACCCCGTTACACACGTAGCTGCTAAACAAGCTGCAGGTCTTGTTCTTCGCCCAAGAACTCATCCGATCCGTTAGCGCGAAAGCGTTCAAATTGTGGAGATCGGCCTAGATAGAGCTTCCTACACGTGCGATAGATCACCCATTTTCATAGAACAATGGGTAAATCGACGAAGAAGGGGTAATGTGACTGGACGTTCAGGTTCTCCTGTCCTGCCCCGCAACATTTACCTGCTCCCATTGACAACGTTCTACCAAGCCACAATCGAACAAACAAGAGGCAACAGAGAGTGCGAAAGAAGGATCATGCAGGTCGACAGCAAGCGAATGCGATATCGTGTCTTGGGCAGGGCAATGTACAGGCTACATCATGGCAGCAGATTGATTCCGAAGGCCCGACAACAAAGAGAGAGGAGAGGAACATCTTACCAGAAACGACTTCTCGCGCTGAACCATCGTTGCTCTCGAAGTATTACCACTTTTGTTGTTACAATCACAGCTCCCCAACCAGCCCGTTTTGTGTGTAATATACTAGGTTTCGCCCCGTTACCCTCGCGGTAACTGCACAGAACGGATCAGGTCCCCACTTGTGTCGTCTGTCACTGGAAACTTGTTTTTCCAAGATTTCGGGTCCACCCTTCCAGCCCAGTAGCAACAGGTCCAGAAACCATCTGTTTATCGGGTTAGAGTATCACTCATACGCTTCGTAGGCAAACACTACAATTGTGGGTTTATCCTAAAACCTTTTATCCAAGCGCTCAGCATGTTACTTTTCTTGTGATACTTCCGGTGCTGCTCCAAAGTCAAGACTTCGAAGGCGCCAAAGACTGACTGATGATCTATTTTATCGAGTTTCAGCCTCGCAAACACGTTGTCGGCTGACAGATTTTTCTTCTTCCAGTCTATCATCACTTATTGCATTAACTTCTTTGCATCGTCATCGTTCGCTCCGAGATCAATCGAGGACTGCAAGGCGTGTGTCAGCTTCATGCTGCCACATTCGTAGTTGGTATCTCGGTCAGCGTATCTTGGCGCTCCCATTATTCTTGTCAACAACCTCACATGAAAACGAAGCGCCTCTGTCTCCTGATAGCCGTCGTCATCGAAGTCGTTGTTTCGCCTCATTGACGAAGGAACATCGTCGACGGTTTCTTCTTTCTTCCAGCAACACCACGTCAAGTGCTTGAGCAGATCGTCTGCACGCTTGCTAGTTGCAACGTCTTTGCGTTGCTGGCTTTCACTAGCATCTTCACCGTACTCTGACTCGTAAACGGCAAGTACAAAATTCGGTGGTAAACGACTCAGACATAGTCGAGTTGACAGATCTGTGAGTAAACCCGTTTCATGGCCCGCCGTCGACATGAGTTTGCTCGACTGAAAGGGTTCGCCAAGCTGAGCACAGGGATGTAGGTCACGGCCGCCTCACTCTCTTGTTTGGCAAAGCTACGATCAGGTGTATCAAACTCTCTTTGCGGTTCTCCTTGTCAGGAGCTATCCAACTGCTATCGACAAATACAACGTCGTGGTTGTCGTCCGCTAGTGCCTGACCGTTAGTACACATGGTGGCGAGCCCAGACAGCCCGGATGAAGCCTACATACATGCCAGAAGAGGTGCAGCACAAGTATGGCGGTGCCGACTTTCATGGCCGGGTTGCATCAACTGGTGCTGGAAGGTGGGGGAGATGGATAACAATGCTGTGTGGCACAGGATCTTCTCCATCCGCGTCGAGAGCAGAGCCATAAAGTATGCTTGGCGTCGATACCGCAACCCATGAAATCATAGGGAAGCAGAATCTTTCCCATGCTCCTGTAGGTACAGCATCAACCCACGCGCGTCCGACCGTATCGCGCATTCCTAAAACCCCTCTGATCGCCAGCTGTGCGAGAAAGCTGTCGCAGGAGCATTTTGACGACTCCCATACACTACAGCACGACTGAATGCTTTACATAGCTTAGCGGGTCGTAGGTAGCGACGTCTATTGTCTCCTCTCAAGTGATTACTCGCAGCATCACACGGAGATAGATTGTTTCGGCCTGCACAGGCTAACGATGTCCATATCGAACGGCTTTGCTGACTAGTTGGCAAGCTTTGGGTATACTGCCATCAGTAGTCGATGGAGGCTTCTGCCATGGACCATGCACCGTGTGCTTCATTTCCATCGATGTATGTCATGTATGTCAGATCGAAGCACTTGTGTGCGGCATGCAACAAAAGTTACTCTGCAATTGCTATTGTCACACAGGGGCAGCTTCATCTTGGTAAGCACTGCCTAGACGCGCGAAGCAGAAGAGGTCGTTAGGGCGCAAGCTTAGCTCATCGTGGCTACTGCTTGCATGCGCTGAGCATGGCCATGGTGACGGCAAAAGCATTGTGCCAGACCGCCAGTCTCTATGTTTTGCATAAGCGAGAACATGTGTGGGGCCTAGCAAGTACGCTAGAGCTTGTAAGCGAATGGTCAGTCAAACGCCGCGTGCGAGCTCGTCGTCTAGTACGGCGTACAGACGTCCCTTGTCTCAAACGCAAGTCAACCAGCATTACCCTGTCTGCAAAAGGCGTTGTGTGCAAGCAGAAACAGACACATTGCAGTGATCTATCTACACGCGCTGCCTACTGACACTTGTCGATGCTAGAAACGAAAACGGGATACTGCAAATGCCCGACACAATCAACAGCTTCCAGCGCGATGCAAAGCTGGGTGAGACTTTTCTGAGCTTCCATAACACCAGAACTAGTAAAGGAAGAAAGGTACAGCTGCCGGATGGATCGATCAAACATCCGTTGACCTGACTATCGATCGCTGGTGCTTAGGCTGCACGGCCTTGCGAGGGTCCGAAACGAGCTGTGTCGAGCAAATGGTGTGAACTCGCATGCAACAAGTCCATCCTATCTGCCTACACGTAGAACGGCAAACCGAGTCGAGAACGACTCGGTCGTTGTACGTACACAACAAAGCGCTGGACGAAACAATCCAAAAGACAATGCGAGGAACCACATTCGTTCACCACCGCATAGAGTACGTTCGTTCACTGCTCGTTCTTTCGCTTACAAGATACTGCACTCGTTTCCGCGAATACTCGCGTTATTCAGCTCCCCGCAGCTGCGGCATCGCCAGCTGGTGCAACCGCCAGGAAGCGGGTACGGCGTCGCGCATTGCGTGCACAGGGCATTGCCCTGCGCGTCCCGACGGATGTTGGCGTTATTGGGCACGACTTGGGCGCGAATCACGGCCGCAGGGGCGCGCGGCACAGCCTCGACAATAGGACGGCCATCGGCGTCGACTTGAACGGGCTGTCCAGTGGCCGAGGGGTACGTCGGCTCTTTCGTAGGCGCTTTCGGCGACGCGGTCGGTTTCATTTGGGCAGCGCGCGACGCGACTTGTGCGAGAGGCCGTCGCGGGATGCGGTTGTGGCCAGTTGTCGCGGTCTTTCGGGGTTGGTCGTGCTCTGTGCACGGTTTATTCTGGGACGGGGGGGTATCGTACCGGTATCGATAAGAACGTGGAGGTCGCGGCCCCAAAGTACGTTGAACTTGGGTGCGCGTCGCGTCGGTGTGTCGCATCGAGAGAATGCAGCGACGATGGATGTCTGTGTACTGGTGTTACGCTATTGCTGCTCGACTCTATTTTAGCGCTTGCCTCGGTCTGGTTTTCGCTATTGCAACAACGGCATTGAGAAACACTCAGATTGTGGCCATCGCAACCGTCGCGTGCTACTAATACCGATCAGTAGATGAGACTATACCATACCATCTCAAGGAGCTCAATTAATACGACTGTCCCTTATCGACACGGCAACTAAACTATACCATGACACGGCAACTATACCATGACACGGCAAATGTAGCTACCAGTCACTTGCCAGCAGCAATCCACATCATCATCAGCAGCAGCTTAGACAACGTCCACTCTTCTTGACGCTTGGCGGCGGCTGCTACGTCGGGTTCGAGTTGACCGTATACGAGCTCGAGGACGCGACGGACCACGTGCTCTCTCGCAAGAGCCTCGAATACACTCCACCTCGGAGCTGAAACAGCTCGGCATGTGTGCCTTGATCCACGACACGGCCATTGTCCAAGACGTAGATCAAGTCGGCGTTCCGCACGGTCGCCGACTCGCACGGATGCGCGGCAATGATTGTCGTGCGACGCACGCGCTGGGCGACGATCGTGTCGAGCGCCTGTTGCACGGCAATTTTCTCGCTCTCGGCCCCGAGCGACCGCGTTGGCTCGTCCAAGAGCAGCAGTCGGGCGTCCTGGAGGACAGCACGCGCGAGTGCGATGCGTTGCCGCTGGCTTGGCGTCAATTGCACGGGTCCGCCCACTTGCGTCGCGTAGGCGTCAGGCAGGTACGAGATGAACGTGTGGGCATGGGCCACTTCGGCAGCAGCAACAATCATCTCCAGTGTCGGTGGAGCTGCCATGCCAAAGGCGATGTTCTCAGCGACTGTGCCGAGGAACAGCGTCGGCTCGGGACCAACAAAGCTGATCTGAGCCCGCAGCCACGCAACATCCAGTGCTCGGATGTCCACTTCGTCCAGCAGCACGCGACCATTGTCGCCTGAAGCTGCTGACAGCGTGTAGAACTTTTCCAGTAGCGCGAACACCGTCGACATGCCAGCCCCTCGCGGTCCACAGAGTGCTACTGTTTGGCCCGCCCCAACGTGCAGCGTCAATCCGTTCAAGACCGAGACAGTGGGTCGCAAAGGGTACGCAAAGCGAACATCTTCCAGCGTGATCCCTCCTCGAAGCAAAGGGCTCTGCGGCAGTGGCTCCTGCTGCTCACCGTCGGAAGACTTCTTGGACGAAGGCGACGTCGGGCTATCGGGTTCGTTCAAGGCGATTGCAGCATCGCGCAGAGCAAGAATGGACGCACCCGCTTGTGACGCACCGTCGAGTTGGCCCAACCAAGCCACTGCAAGTCCTGAGGACTGAACCGCGACGAGGACGACTACCATCGAGTGGAGAAGCTCTCGAGTCGTGGCATCGCCGTCGCGCACAAGAACACCGCTCAGCCAGCAAGCTATGGCACCAGCAGCAACCAGCACCGATGCACTGAAGCTGCGACTCAGCGCTTCAAGCCGTGCTTCGTGTCTAGCATGACGCAATGGACGCTGCAAGAGCTTGTCAAAGCTCGAGCACCACGAGTGGCCGAGGCCAAGCATCACTACGGCCCGACGGTTCGTCAGTGCTTCGCGGACGTGAATGTTCGAAGCTTCTTCCAGCTCAAGTTCGTCTCTGAGCGGGCTGTTCAGACTGCGCTGGTTGTGCAGTGCCTCGCCAATGAGTAGCAGCGGGACTGCCGCGATCAACACGAGCGAGAGCATCCAGCTTCCTTGGTAAAAGGATACGGCAATCGTTGCCGCAAACGTACACTCGAGCTGGACCTTGTGGCCTTGTGCGCGACCGATGATCAACGATGCAGCAGGAGCTTGTGTGGCCAGCAGACCCGTCAACGAGGTCGGGTTGTGCTCGGCGGCATCGAAGAAGGGCACGGGTTGGGCCAACAGCGAGCTGAAGTGCAAGTCTCGAAGGTGCGAAGCAAGCCGCTCGGCCGCGGCATCCAAGAAGAAGAGCTGGGCACTCTGGATGACCATGACGACTAGCGTACCTGCGGTCAAGAAGAGACCGCATCGTGTCACCTGAGGCCGCAGCGTGTCGGCAAAGCTCGCTGTGTCGAGAGACTCGAGGAAGGCCTCGTACTGCTGCATCATGTCGGCGAGCGCTTCACTGATCAAGAGACCGAGCAAAGGGCCACAAAGGCCTAGAAAGACCGACGCGACGAGTCCGTACGTCAGGAACGTGCGCTCGGGACGAGCAAGCGCTTGGATGTCTCGTTTCGTGCGTGCTATGGGCGTCGTGGGAGCTGGCTTGGCCACGTGTCGGTGGCACGTTGGCAGTGGTGGCGGCTCTTCAGCAGGTCTCTGCTCCCGTCGATGGTTACTGAACTGGCTGAGGTGAAGTTGACGGTAGGCGCTGTTTCCACGCTGCAGGAGCTCGACGTGTGTGCCCTGCTCCACGATTTTGCCAGCCTCGAGCACGACGAGCTTGTCTGCGTATTGCACCGCTGCCGAGTTCACTTGACTTGTGCACAAGAGCATCGTCGTACTGCCAGCTCGGACCGTGTCGCCAAACCTCGAGATGAGTTCATGCGGACTGATCGCCACTTCATCCAGCAGCAGCAGCTTTGGCTCGCGAATGAGTGCTCGCGCCAGAGCAAGTCGCTGTCGCTGCAGTATTGTCAGCTTCGGTGCTGTAAGGTCTTCGATCCGAGAGTCGTAGCCACGAGGGAGCGACAGGATGAACTCGTGCACGTCTGCCCGCTTCGCGGCACGGATCACCCGCTCCATCATCACTGCTCCCGTGCTCGCTCCGGTCAGTTCCCGATGCACGACATCGCCCAGTGCGATGTTGTCAAAGATCGAGGCCTGGAACAAGGTCACGTGCTGCGGCACGACACCGAGTTGCGCGCGCATCCACGTGGCGTCGATCGTCTGGGCCTTGCACCCATCCAGCAAAATGAGCCCCTGCGAAGGCTCGTACAGCCGCATCAAGAGCGCCACGAGCGTCGACTTCCCCGACCCACTGCTGCCCACTACTGCGACGCATTCGCCACTCAAGAGCGAGATGTTGCAGCCTCGCAAGACCAGCCGCTGTGGTCGAGACGGGTACGCAAAGTGCAGATCGACGGCCATGATTGCCCCCGAGCACGACGCGGGGCGGACCAACGGGTTCTGGCCGCTGCTCTCGTCTTGGCGGTCTTTGCCAGTCGACAAGGTATCCAGCACTGCAAAGAGCTTGAAAGCAGCGCTGCTAGCGCGCAAGACAGCTCCGTAGCTCGAGACCAAGTTTCCTAGCGCGTGACTGCCCATGATGACGCCGAGGAGCGTCGCAACTACTTCACTGGGTGTTGCGTCAGCTTCGTACACTTTCGTGCCGCCGTACCAGAGCCCAACTGCACTCATGAGCCAGACACTTCCAGTGACGGCACTCTGGAGCACCGCTTGTGTCCCGTGTCGTGCAATGCGTTTGCGTTCGGTTTGACGGAGACAGAGCGCGTGTTTCTCCCGCACGCGACGTTGGGCGTTCAGGGCACAGATCGTTCGGAGGTGAGTCAGCGCTTCATGCACTGTCGCATCAGCTTCAGTCTCCTGATAGGGCCTCGTGCACTTTGACGCAGCGCGCACACTAAGAACAACAACAGCAATAGACGCGACCGCAGTGATGGCAAGCGCCACGTTCCATCGGGTCCGGAAAGCCACGACAAAGCTAGTGACGCACTGCGCCGAGAACTGGAAAAGGGCCCCGAGTTCCGGGCCGAGACCGCGTCGCATCAACTGGGCGTCGGCTCGGGTCACAATGGTGCAGTCGAGCGCTGCGAGGGTCAGTTCATTGACGTCAAACCACGACTGGGGCAAGTGAACCAGCAAGTGCCGTAGAATCTGCTGCCTGAACGAAGCCAGGAGGTTCTCTGCGGTCCGAGTGAGGCACACGTGAGCAGTCCACGCCGTTGCAGCAAGGGCCAACGATATAAGGAGTAAGGTCAATGCCGAAGAGGCCACGTCGTGGCGGTCGAACGGCGCAAACGCTGCCACGGCAGCTCGCACTTGGGTCGTCAAGCACGACCACAGGGCCCCGTGTAGCGCAGCAGCTATCAATCCAGTGCAGAAGGCAACGAGGTCTCGTCGAGTCAACAGCCGAGTCACGAGTTGTCGCACACGCGTGACGGACGTCGTTTGTCGCGGCTTTGCAAAGGCGACACGACCGTCAAGCGGTACGTCGTCGTGATCGGCCACGCGGTGTTCGCGGAGTTCCCGCAGCGCTTCGACAATGTCAGTCGTCTGTCGAAACCGACTTTTTCGAAAGGAGGTCCGTGTCCCGTTCGCGGAAGGCGAGACGACGTCATTGGTAGTGCCTGCAGTTGGCACCCCGGGGCGGGGTGATAGCCGGGCGAAATATCGTGAACCCACGGAATTCACGTCGCTCTCGTGGTGGTGGCTGTGGTGGTGGCTTTCGTCTCGATTGTCAGGTTCGTAGACTTGACTACTGTTGATGCTACAAGCGCTTTCGGTGAATTCGCTGTGTAAGCTGCTCGAGTAGCTGCTACTGCGATGTCTGCGCGCGTATGCAGGTCCAGGAGCGATCGACAGCGTGGAGAGGTCCATGAGGTTTTCATCTGGCAGCGGAGAGTACAGACGCATGGAGCGAGTGTCTTTGTGAACAGAAAAGAGATCGGACAATGAACGACCCGCTACGCACGGGACGAGTGCTGTGCGTGAGACCGTGTTCGCCGTCATCGAAGGGATGTCGGACCATCTTGCGGCATCATCAGGACAAGAAGGTGGCACGCGTAGTAGCACAGGACATGACGAGGAGTGATGCGTATCCAGTCAGCACGAGTTCGAAAAAGGAAGGAGCAAGTGCGGATACCACAAGCGGACGTGCGCGCTGTTGTCGTCGTTGTGGCTGTTGTTGTGGTTCTGGTTCTTTCTCTCGCCAGTCGAGACCGTGTCCCTCCTGACTGTGCGTCCGAAGAGCTCATCCATCCTATGACTTACTGGTGGGGAGTCATCATGTCTCGATGTTTTGCGACGCTGGTGATTCTTGCGTACGTTCGACCATTGGCGCGACGAAAGAGTTGCAACAAGAGTCACGTGAATGCGCACGGAAGGAGCGACGACAGAGCCAGCATCACCGACTCGGCGCGAGCGACATTTGGGGTTCGATTGCTCGACAGTCATGAAGTGTAGCATGGCAATGCAGAGGAATGTTATTGATACTGTGTCACGCTTGGTCTGCTTTTCTTGCTTGTTACGTGCTTGTCAAGGGACTCAACGCTCCACTGCAGCTGAATACACTTCTACAGGGGACTATGTTCGCTGTACGCCATTATCGTAGGCAACCTGACTGAAGAAGAGCTGGTTCGTGTGTCTGCTCTTTGGATCGCATGCGACTGGTGGATTCCAGCTCGAAGAGGAGATCATGGAAACATCAATTAGACAATCTTGACATCGGAACGTTCCTGAGTCTGGTGAGAGCTGTTCGGGTTTGGCGCGAGCGTTGGCAATCGCGCTTGATCTGCTGCGGGAATTGCTTGCAGTTCCTTCACGTGATTGTGTAAATGCAGAGCTCAGGTCTGGAGCAAGCGCAGAACGACAAGTTGTGGATGAGGTTTGCTAGAAAACAAGCTGTGCGATGAGGATGGCCTCCGCGCTTGGATGATTGATCGATAATTTGGTTGGCCGTATGCTTTGCGTCGATTTTGACGTAGAGTTGTGGTCACTACTTGTGCTTCCAGTCATCCTGTGACCGAGGGCAACGCCCATCGTCTTACAGCAGGCAGAGCCTGGTGTCACATGCTGCACTCATCCATCGGGCGGCCCTTTCGATGACATTTATGTGATCGTCTTGTTGTGATTGAATGGTACTAGAGGCTGCAAGAGTGCCGGCAGGTCCCGGTCAGGCCACACAGGGCCCTAAGAAAACCAACAGTGAGCCTGTTGTACCTCTTCTCATCGCGATGCTGCCTCGTTTGCGAGACGGACCTAGCTGTATAGCAGAAGCTAGCTGTCCACTGACCAAGGTGCTTTGGCAACGTCACATGGAACGAAGTTACTTGCCTGCACGAAGATGCTCAGCAATCAGCATCGACTGCTATCGTTAGACATACTATAGTATGTCCATCTTTAGTACCAAAGTGGTCTCGTCGAGGATCTAGGCTTCTACCGACGTGACACCGCGCGGTAGGCCTCCTGACCAAAATAAGTCGAACAAAGATAGGTAAGTATCCTAAGGCAAAGTCGGATCCGAATCTGTCCATCCGCCTTGTCGCGAGAGCTGTCTGCGACCACACTAACAGTAGCGCATGATCCACGAAGACATATTGGCACTAGTTGGTGGTGTAAGTGAAGTAGATTGAGGACTTTTGACCAGCAATACCCGTAAATTGGCACTTGTTATCAGCTGCCAGTCTTTTGCTTTTTCGAAGAAGCCCGTGCAGTTGTGGCACGTTTGGAGTCGACCGATATCCTGGACAATAACTGACGACCACGTTTCCACTTTTACGAACCTTGCTCCTCCTTGCGTCTGTCAGGTATGACGTTATAGTACAACTAGCCTTTCTTGCAGCATCCAGCTACAACATGCAGAGCCGAGCTGAGCTTTGTGGCTGCTTCGTTTGCCTTCACTACAAATTTGGACGATGAAGGACATGTGAATTATAGACCCCACTCTTTTCCCTTGCAGGTTCAGTATTCGCTGAGTACACTATCGACACACACTTACATCAGCATTGTCGTCAAATAACCCGAATAAAAAGCACTGCGCATTGTTCGTTCGATCCTGTCATCGTTTGTAGACTTGGCTCGAGCTCGAGTGTTTGTGTAGTATTGCACGTAGAGCAAAGGGTTCACGGCAGGATTGCGTAGACTAGTGATGATGATAAGTTGAGTATATTCAGGTACGCTAGCGACCCACTATATCCTGTCATCGGGCAGCAGAGCTGCCGCGGCAACTACTACTTTATATAGTAGGTAGAACTAGTCCTCGGACAACATGGCGCCTACGCGCAGCCTCTTGTCTCGAGATGATCGGTTCCTCGGCGTCAGCGTGGGGCCCGGTATGTCTATATGTTCGATGTGAGAGGTCTCTAGCCAGTGATTGACATCATTATCGAGAAACGCTGTAGCCGCCTTGACCACAACGTGGTCGGAGGACGCGTGCACCTGTATTGACGCCCTTGTATCCATGGCGATATTTGCCAGTCGATCTGCCATTTTGTTGTATGTGCGATAATGATGTCCCCAGCTGGAGACCTCAATAGCATTAGCGAGGACGCACGCTTCGCGAAATAACCGGAGTAAGTGAGGCGCGCGTGGAGGGTGGCTAGTTCGAAGTTGCGAAAGTACTATCGCACTGTCCCCCACAACATGCAGAGGAGAGAAGCCGCTGTTCCCCGGCCCGCCCCCGCCGGGGGGGGGGCCCCCCCCCCCCCCCCAACAGGCCCCCGAGGGGGGGGGGGGGGGGGGGGGCGGGGGGGGCCGCCCCCCGGGGGGGGCCGGGGGGGGGGGCCCCCCCCCCCCCCCCCCCCGGGGGGGGGGGGCCCCCCGGGCCCCGCCCCCCCCCGGGGGGGGGCGCCCCGGCCCCCCCCCCCCCCGCCCCCCCCCCCCCCCCCCCCCCCCCCCCCCCCCCCCCCCCCCCCCCCCCCCCACCCCCCACCCCCCAAAAAAAAAACCCCCCCCCCCCCCCCCCCCCCCCCCCCCCCCGGGGGGGACGGCCCCCCCCCCCCCCACCACCACCGCCCCCCCCCAAAGCAAGGGGGGGGGGGGAAGGGGTTTCATTCACCCCCCCCGAAAGGGGGGGTGGCGCCCCCCCCCCGGGGAAACCCCCCCAAAAAGGCACCCACCACAAAGAGCCCCCACAAACAAAGGGAAACCCCCCCCCCCCCCCCCCCCGCCCCCACAGACGAGAAACCCCCTTCAAAAAAAAGCCCGCCAAACCCCCTTGCTGGACGGGGGGGCGCCGGGTTGGGTGACTAGCAATACCGTGTACTATAGACGTGCAGGGGGGTATCTCAATCGGTCAACGAAGGTCTTGGGTATGTCATAGGGAGTAGTGCTAAAACGTGTAACATGGCGTCATGACTGTACTGAGCGATGAATACCGTCAGTGCCGAGAGAAAGAGAGTCACTATGGTCATTAGCCTAGGCAGCATTGCGCGCATGTATGTCTGCTCTCTGTCGTTTGTCATCGATCTTTTCTCTCTCGTACACAGGGACATGTTTGTTTATCATTCGTGAGCTTGTAACTCAGCGTATTCAGGATCTCGTCGAGTCTGCGGACGATAGCACTAGCAAACGAGGTCCAAGAGCTCAGAGAAGCTGGCGGTGTATTCCCAAGTGAAGAAGTAGCACTGATTGTTATGCTTGTAGACTACTCTTGCGTACGTCTTGGAAGGACAAGCGCCAAAGTTGCAAAAGTCGCTTCTGTTCCTCGTTCCATCGACGTTGCGATCATACGCTTGCGCGACCACACAAGAGGCTCTTGTCACGAAAACACGCGCCACTGTTGCTGGTTCACGATGTGTGGTGGTGCCAAACGAGTTTACTCCAGCAAACGGCCGCGCAGACCAGAGCTGTGTAAGTAAAGGCGATCCATTCACCAAGTCACGGAGAGAGCCAACGTCAATAACAATTGCCTTTGACCCTACAGACCGTTTAACTGAACGCGCCGTGCTGCTTGGCATGTACAAGTAGTGGATCAAAGCGGCAAAGCGCAACAGCAGCTTGACCGTACATACTAAGGCTTGCGAAGTTGCGGCCAATAGTGCGATGGGAGCTGGCTCCATCTCACGCAAACAAATAGGCAGCGGCGTACAAGCCAAAGCACGTGTACGCACTGCCGGATACGCTCGTGCGATAATGCACTCTTCTCCATTCCATGGTGGTGTTGTGCCATGTACGTCCATTATTTCCAATAACTAACGACGGAAAATATGACTCTACGGGTGCCCCGGAAACCGGGACGAATCCGTGGGTGCTCCAAAGAGCCGAGGCAAAGGTAGCGACGGTCATAGACCCTCCCTCCCAAGCCGGGTCCGAGCCTTTCATCACCGCTGATGCGACCAATCGGACCATACGTGCGAATTGCCGAAGCAGCAGCGCGCGACGCGGAATAGGCTGCCCTTCGTGGCAGCTACCCTGTTTGGACCGCTTGCGCGACCCCTTGACGTGGCGTGCGATCGCCGAAGTAACTGCGAGTGCAGCTTGCTCGAGGCCGACCGTAGACCCCCCTCGGCTCCCCTAGGGGAGGATTCCCTCCAAAGTGGCCGCCCCCGAAGGGGTAAGCAAAGATTGGCTGGAGCTGAAGCGTGAAAGTTTGGGCACGCTCTCCGCTCCATGGTCGTAGCCTCGTCACGCCAATCCCATCCTGTCGCTCAGTCTCAACTGCGCGCGCCAGCGCTCTCGAGTGTTTGAGGCTCGCGACCGCAACGCCATTCTGCATTTTGCCAGACCAAGCACAGCACAACACAGCACCGCACCGCACACCACCGAACACTTTGCACCCCAGTTCCAACAGCGCGATGCACGCCAGAACGGGCGTCTTCATCACCATGGCTGCCATTGTCTCCCGATCGGTCTTCTGTCAAACATCACCCTTTCCATGCGACGTCCTGCCCGAATGTAACGGTGTGGCTGGAGATTACATGATGGTGGTTCAACCGGCATGCAAGAACGCCTACAATTGGGACTTCCATCGCACTACGTGCTGCAGGCAAGTGTGCAAGGTGTTCAAAGGCAGCCTCTTTCGCTGAGCAAGTGGGAAGCACTCTCTGTCCAGTGGACGCGGACATGAGCTTCTCGTCTGACGTTCGATGCTGTGTGCGGGTTTCCTGGTCAACTCGTGATAAGAGGTGTGACTCGAGATCAAGCGGTTTACATGCAAACAAAAGTTGATGTTGTTGTTTACGAATGTGTTGTCGTTCAGTTCACTGCTTTTCGTTGTTTGTGCCTCGCTGATGCTTGCAGCAGTCGCTTGTCTTGCACAGTGGCCCCTGCTAACAACCAGAGCACAGGACTCTGTACAGTTCCTTCGCCAGCGCTCGATTATCACCACACACGTTCGCACGTGTTGACAGTGGGCGACATGTGGCGAGCATCCTCTTTCGTCCTCGAGCCAGTGCCCATCGTGGCGGCAGTGCAATAGCGTGGAGAAAGGTCATGGGGAGGCTCGCCACGACTTTGTTCGTCGACGGATCGGTGCCTGAAGAAGCCAAAACTCCTTGTGGAACGAACGACAAGAGGCACACAGTGTCCTCTACGCAGTAACACGAAGTTTGCCAGTCGTAGCGTGTATGTGCCATGTCTGTGACCACGCTGCCTGGTCTCAGCAATTCGCTTGTCAACACTTGGCACTGCAGTCCACCGTGATGGTGTTGTGGCGTATCCGCATCTTTTTCGTCTTGCGCCCGGTCTTCATGCCCGGTCTTCATGCCCGTCGAGCATCTGCTTGCAGCCCATCAGTCTTTCTCCAGCATAGCAGGTCATGTTCGATTGGACTCGGGCGATCGTTGCCACACAACGTCTCGCGCTGTACGAGGCCGTGCTCCATGCCGTGCGACTTTACCGACCAGCTCCTACTCTATCGGTGATCATGTTGTGACGAAGACAGGAGCGAACGTCTGTCGATAGCGTTCAGCGCGTGTGTCGCCAAATTGACACGACAGTACACAGCATTGCATTGGAAACAAGTGCTCGACTTTGCTGCAACGCTCGCACGCTTCTGGCTCTTGACGATCGTCGTAACACAGTCGGGTAGTTGTAGTCGCATGAAGTGACACGCACTTGGGTAGGAATAGTCATGGCGAATTCTGCAGGACCATTTATGCCTGCGCAGGAAAGAGACCCAAAACACGGCAAGTGAACCGGTAAGAGCCTCATCATAGACCACAAGTGAGACTGTAGGGTTCTTCGCGTACACGTACCTTAGAATCCCAATTACGACAGCAACTGCGGGTACGGAAACCTGGCGTCGGAGAAGTGATCGGGCATGGTCGAGTATTGGAGCGGCAATGCTACTGCTGTCGTAGGCGCAAGCGAAACACCGTCACTTTTGCTGGCTTGACGACGGAGTTGCTTGTGAAGGTGCTGGAACTGCTGGCGCGCCCGCAAAGCGTTGGCCTCCATCTGCTGCATCGCGTACAGCTCCTGGATTTGCGAGGCGTAGTTCGCGTGCAGCTGATGTAATTTCGTCGCAAGCAGCTTTTTGTGACGCCGCTTCAACTGCTTCTGCCTGTGGTAGTCGTGCGCTACGTTTCGACGCCAGTTCATGGGGCCGCTGGCTGAGATCGACGAAGATCTCTTCGAGTAAACGGCCGATGCACAGCCGCAATCCGGATGCTTGTAGACACGCTCACGTTCAGTGAGGAAGTTCATTCGGAGTCGCTCGTTCTGGCGTGAAAATTGCATCAGCAAGTTGGTCTGCTCGCTAGTAGCGACCGCACGGTCAAAATCCGCATCAGTGTCTGCAATAGCCAACACCTTGCTGTCACTGGAACCTTCGGACGCGGGGTCAGAGTATCTGTACATGGCTGCAGCGAGGAGCGAGCCCTTATCACTCACGAAGGGCACCGACATGAACTCAGGCTCGGACTGTTCCAGCCGCTCCAACTCCTCTTCCAGTTCGGCGTCCTTTGCTCCAACAGACTGCATCACGTGACAGTCTGCTTCAGTCAGCTCCTTCTGCTCGCTCGCCAAGGCACCCTGCTTTTCTTCTTGCAAGCGTGCTGGCTTGCTCGATCCTACATACACGCGTTGGTCGGAGACTGCAACTCCTGCAGGTTTCTTTGACGACAGAGACACTGTCTTAGACTCCTTCATTTCCGCCTGAGTCACCTCGCACTTCTCCTTGGTGACACCATCTTCAGTACCCTCGTGCTCCGTGAACAAAGCTTGCGTTCGCATTCGACGCGTAGCCTTCTTCTCGCTGCTTACATCCGTCGCTATGGATATCGCTTGAGTACTGCTTGAGCTCAGCGAAGTCACAGCTGTGGCCATATCGATAGTCGAATCTCCTAGCAGTCGCTCATTGTCCTGTCGTGACTTCAGTGTCGCCACAGAGGACAAAGTCTCCTCATGTTTCTTCAAGACTAGTAGCCTTTTCTCCAGACCGGACAGAACAGGGTGTTCTGGACTGTTGGGGTTGGATGAATCGGACGAAGATGAAATCGATACAACTGGAGATGCTGCGCTTGTCCATAGCTTGCCACCATCGCGGGGTGTGCTGTACTTAGGAGTGGCCACCGCTGTTGTGCTCTTGCCAACCTTGTCCCGGGTACCAGTCACAACAAGGTGCCTCGTTCCAGCGGTCTCTTGCGCTCTGCTATCGGGCAACGGCACCGCTTCTCTTCTTGCTCCTGACCTACCGGTGGTCTTCTCCCGGGCAGTAGTCTTCTCGCTATCGTGTCTGTTTCGCTTGAACTTCCGCTCCGCTACTTGATATTTCAACATGCCGTCCTGGTGACTGCGCTTCAAAACTGCCTTGATCTTCTTTTTCTGGCGTCGGTGCTTCTCCTTAGCGGCACTCTCATCGCTGACGTCTGAGTCGCTGCTGCAGCTGCTGTCCTGGTAGCTCTCGGCTTCACCCAGGCCTCGCGTCAAATCTCTCGAATCCGTCTTTACTCGGAAACACTCGTTCTCGCGCTGATTGCGGTGCAAGAAAGCATCCAGGCTCTGAACAAGAAGCTGGTTTTGATTGGCGGCTACAACCATCCACTTCGCTTTCTCCATTTCGGGGAAAGGAAGGACTGCGAGAAGACCACTCGTGTTGACTCGAGTAAGATCCGAGAACTGTGCTTGAAAGTCCAACGACGGGTCGACAAAGAACTGCTCGTACCCTTCGACGTAATCCAGAGGTGTCGCAATCCCAGTCTCTACTGTCGGCTGGTGGATAAACACACTACCATCACTGCACATACCGACAGTAAATGGCGAAGCATCTTGTCCAGCAATTTTACTAACGGTGCGCATGTGGCGCTGTCCATTCGTATCTTCGGCACCGCGTCGACGGCTTCCGCGGGGATTCCATGCACGCAGCGAGTTCGCGTTCCTTGCTTTGATCAGGGCCTCGCGCTGGGCACGTTGCTCCTTTTGTGATAGCGGCAGGTCCAAGTCCATACGGACAGCTGCTTGGAGATCAATCACGGAAAGGGATTCGCTTCCGCCATACGCGTAATCTCCGTACACTGCCACCGAGTCAAGCGTCTGTTTCACGTCAGTGTGTGATTGTTTCCGGATCGTCACCGAGTCGCCGACGGTGTCATAGTCTTCTTCGAGGTGCCAGATACGAACGTTCTGGTGCTCAGACTTGGAGATGAACTGGTTTGCAATCGTCGGGTGAAACGAGATAAACTCCAGCGAGATGCCGTTTGTCTGTTTGTCAAACACGCACTCCCAACTCCATGTCAAGTCTGTACCTCCCGTACTCTTTTTCTGGTAAAACCGCCACATGTGCACATTCTTGATGCCGATTCCACACAGCAAACGGTATTCCATCTTCCTACTCGTCTCGTGGTATAAGCACTTGGCAGCGGCAAATCCTTTCAGTTTTGCATCTGAAAAAGTGTGTGCTACGACTTGAGCAGTAGAGGATCGAAAAACATCCGTCAACAAGTCTCCATCGCGGTCACTCTCGTCACTGTCGTCGGCACTCAGCAGCGCCATCGACGTCGTCGTGGTAGGATCGACAGCATTGGTGCCTCGCTTCGGCGCCAAACCCTCTGTTTGGGCTGTTGGCAGCTCAATGCTGTCCACTTCAATTGCTCGAATGTCCGTCGAGCCACGATAAACTCCTGCAAAGATGAAGCGCCCGTCTGTCGGGATTGACACTGTCACCATGATCTGCGTGTACATTCCGCGAGGCAAAATCTGGTCCAAGAGCACACCGCGGTGGAACACGAGCGAGTCCGTCGTGAGCGGATAGAGGTACACCATGCCATTGTAAAAGCCTGCGACGAGGAACGAGCCGTTGGGAGCGACAGCGACCGACGACACTGTCGATGTCACGGAGAAGTGGTACTCTTGGGCCTTGCGGGCGGCGGGCGAGCGACTGTGGACGACTGTATTGGACACTTGACTTGGTACAGGAGCTGGCACCTGCTCTCGAGTTGCTGAGTCCGTGTGATTGGTTGTTGACGTTGAAGTTGTTGTTGCTGCTGCAATAGTGACGGGGATGTCACTAACCTCCGGCTCGGGTTCAGACGAGAGACAGCTGTTTTCCAGACTTGCAAGAGTGGGACCACTGGTCGAGGCGACATGGCCCGTCGCTCGTCCGAGTGCTTTGATTGGTGTGCAGAACGCCAACTTCCGCTTCGTCGTCGGGTCGTCGCGACCACTGTCTCGTCTGGCCGTGTTCGAAATATCTTCCAGCACGCGCGCAGGGTTCGGGCCCCCTGCCCGCGCCTTACAGCGATTGGCGGAAAAAGGACGTGGCGACGGCAACGCTTGCGGCGGGTGCCGTGGCGTCTCTTGCTGCAACATAAGCCTCGAACCCTTGAGCGTCGGGTGGTCCTCGAGCGTAAGTACTTGCGCTGGTTTGCTGCCGCAAGTGGACGCCGGTGACAAGAACGATGGCGAGGCAAAGCGCACGTTGGGTGGATCTGGCTGCTGCTGTGTCGTCGCGCGCGGCTGCGCTGGCGTCACGTGCGCAGACGGCCGTCCCCTATGGCAGGACGGAGTGGACGCACGCATTCGCGATGGCGGGGGAGGGGGGGAGACACTAGAGCAGACGAGCGAGATTTGAGACGTCGGGGCGAATGGGATCCCGCGTATGTTGTGCGTGCGCAACATAAGCCACGCGGAATCGGCGGTGGAGTTGGGGGAGTTCAGGGGGACAGCAACATTAGTGTGGATTTTATTTTGGCTCGACGGATTTGTAGCGAGTCGATGTTTTGCGCTTTTTTGTTGGAATCAGCGACACGAAAGGGAAGATCGTGTTGAATCAGAGGTTGGACACGCACGTTTTTCGATCCGTGCGAGATAGTACGCCACAAAGAGACGGTCGAAGCGGACGATCCCATTCGCTCACTGTATTGCCAGCGCAGGATATAGCAGCACTATGTATGTATTCGTAGCTCCACAGCGCGAGATTCGCACGTCAGGGCCCGCTCAATGCGTGGCCCCGGTGACGGCAATAAGCTCTTGGTCGGTGCATTGCAACTTCACCGTTTACGTTATCAAGTCGCACCCGAGTCACAACGTGCAAGAGTCAGTCATGACACTGTCTGCGGTCCACACGTCGTTCGTGTACATGATCCGAAATGTGTACGACATGTACGATGCTGAGCTTTGCGTCCGAGTGACGGCTAGTGATGCGCTAGGACAGTGTGTAAACGGGCCTTCCCTCTGACTGCGTTCGACGTGAAGCCGCGTCTCGGTGACACTGTGTCGAGGAGAGCGTAACGGAAGTACGTGGAGGGCCACCATCGCTGACTGCTGCAACGATTGCATGGATTGGCTCTGCAAGCTCGTGCCGAATGCACCGCTCGATCCCGTCGTGTGCTCGAGGATGCACTACTGGCACAGCAAGTCGCTCGAGAAAACTTCGTATGGGTACTTGACGAGCCACTGGCGGATCCACGCGTACGTTGTACGACGACAGCAGAATCTCATCGACAACGACTACGTAGTTGTGCTCACCGAATCCTCTCACTCTCAGTCAGTGTTAGATGCCCCTTACCTGCACGTGGCATGCAAAACTCGAGCTTTGTGGGTTACGACTCGGCTCGAAGTTGGCTTTGAATGACAGAACGGGTCACTGTGCGCGCCTCGCAAGACGATGCTGGGAGATCAGTTGTTCGCGCGGCGTCTGTGGCTTGCAATTGCAACAAGGGACCAGACAAGCCCAGTGTTGTACGTCACGAATGCGCGGACTCAGCTGCCGATGTTAGTAGTGTACACGCACTTTGCGCTTCGAGTGAACCGTTTGCAATGAAAAGCTGCACGCAGACAAGAACGAACGTACGCAGCTGTGGAGAGTCGTGCGTGTGAACGAAATGTGCGCACGTCGAACGCTGCGGCCATCTCATGTTACGTCTGCCAATGATCGTATGAACAGCTGAGTACACGGTCCTAGTCGGGCCACGTCCGCAGTGGTATACCACTTGAATGATCACATCGCTAGACGTCGCGTCCTCAGCTCAGTACAAGACCCTATTCACCACTACGAAAAGCGACGAAGTGGATGGACATCAATGTCTGATAAACGTGGCGTCTCACAGCGCATATGTGCAGAGGGCGTGACGACATGTGGTCGTTGCTCGTTCCGATCGGCTTAAGCGATGGGATCAGTGGGCTCAAAAGCTCTTTTTACACGATGATCATCGACCTGGTAATCGATCGTCTTACGAAAGATGTTTGGTATCTGCTCGTCGTTTGTTGCCAGTCGCGATCAAAAACACGAAACCCGCCGCTCGCGTGCGACCAGACTCTCCCCAACGCCAATCAAACAAACGTTGTTTTCAACATTTGAACCACATCTGAGTCCACTCCCCTCCCGAGATAAAAAAATGACAGGGCCCAACTCAATCTGACAATTAATCCAAAGACCATCTACCCCAACGCCCGTATCGAAATGTCTGCTCGGATAAAACGCTTCATCATCGTCCACTCGATTGCGTTTTATCCACATGACGGATAATAGGTCGCCCGTAGTGCTACCACTCTCAATGGACCTTCAGCATCTCGGTACGCGCTGCGTCCACGCCCACGCACTCTCCTTTGCACGTGTACTGACCTTCTCGTCCGTTCAATGTTTGTGCTGTCTCTAGAGTCCATGATCGACGACCACCAGCAGCACAACACGAAGCGGTCCAAGAACAAGACCCCCACGTACGAGTAAGTGCGCACCCATGTTCCCCGAACTTATGGGCTGCAAAATAGTACTTTTGCCATTGGCCGTTGTAATCGATCCGCCCTGCCGACGCCGCCGCTGCGTACTAACGTGACTACCACTGCTACGTTGTTGTTTGACTACCCCTCTTGTTTGCATGATGACGATTGTGTGTGTGGGTGTGGGTGTGGGTATTCGTTTCTAGGGGTACGCTCGAAGGGTGGTCGCCTGCGACAAAGCCGAATACGTCGGAGACCGAGTCGAGTATGGACCAGTTGAGTCTCGATCCAGCCGCTGCTATTGCTGCTGTTGCTGCTGCTGCTACTGCTACTGCTACTGCTGCTGTTGCTGTTGCTGCTACTGCTACTGCAAGGGCTGAGCAATTGACTGCGGCGCCTGACGACAATCGGCTGCGGACCGACTCGACGGACAACACCAATAGTCCCGACGCAGCACCTGTCGCTACGCTCGAGACGGCCAAAGCACTGGACAAGAAGCAGTTGTCGAAAGCCGAGCGGAAAAAGTTGGCGGCCGAAGCGTTCGCCAAGACGGGCGGCGTGCCGAAGCGCGAGAAGCTGACGAAAGCCGAGCGACGGGCGCAGCAGGAGGCCAGTCGGAGCAAGCAGGAGGGTCCGGCCAAGCACAAGCTCAAGCACAAGCAGACTGGCGATGCTGTGGCGGCCAGTCCACTGGCAGCAGGTGCTTCTGCGCTTGGTGCGACGATGGCCAGTGCTGCTGGCAGTGCTGCGGTTGGCGCTCTGCTACCGTCGGTTCCCGTCGTGCACGCGCGCCTGCAGTACGACGACGCCAAGAAGATCGCCCGTCGCGCCAAAGCAGCGCTTGTGGTGCGGACGCAGGCGCAGAAACAAGTCGAGATGTTTTCGCATTTGCCGCAGTACGAGCGCGAGAGCTCCTTGTCGCTGAACGTGGGCTTTTCGAACAAGGAGGAGGTGCATCCGGCCGTGCTGGCGCTCGGGCTCAAGTACGCCGAGAAGAAGATCTCGGGGAGCAATGCGCGGTGCGTTGCCATGATCACGGCGTTCCAGCAGGTCATTCAGGACTACGTGACGCCACCGGACAAGCAGCTGGGTCGCGACCTGGACAAACGCCTTCGGCCGCTCATTCAGTACCTCATTGACTGCCGACCACATGGCATTGGCATGGGCAATGCCATTCGCCGTCTGCGACGTGTCATTGGCTCGAGTCTGCCGGAATGGAGCGAAGAAGAAGCAAAGCGTCGGATCTGTGAGGAGATGGACGACTACGTGCAGACCCGTATTTTGCTCGCCTCGCGGGTCGTCTCGAAGAACGCCCAGTCCAAGATCAGCGCTGGTGACGTGATTCTCACCTACGCCCGCGCCAACGTGGTCGAGAACCTGCTGCTTGAAACGGCCAAGTGCTCGCCCGAGATCGCTGCGACGCTGCGCGTGATCGTTGTGGATTCGCGTCCGCACTATGAAGGGCGGAAGCTCGTGAGTGTGCTGGCGAACGCAGGTCTGCAGTGCTCGTACCTGCAGATCAACGCGCTGTCGTACATCATGCGCGAGGTCACAAAGGTGTTTCTCGGAGCTGCTGCGTTCATGAGCAACGGCGTCGCCGTGGCACGCGTCGGTACGGCACTCGTCGCGATGACGGCGCACGAAGCGAACGTGCCTGTGCTGTTTTGCTGCGAGACGTACAAGTTCTCGGAGCGAGTGCAGCTGGACGCGATTACCCACAACGAACTGGGCGACCCGGATGAGCTGGTGTCTTCGTACTGCACGGACAAGCCGCGCTCGCGACGTCGACCGGGTGTTGGAAGCGCTGCGACCGACACGGCATCCAGCAGTTTTGTGAGCGGCGGCCACATCCTCTCGGACTGGCGGGACCTGGCCGACCTCAAGTTGCTCAACCTCGTGTACGACGTGACGCCGATTGATCATGTCTCGATGGTGGTCACGGAGCTCGGCATGATCCCGCCCACGTCGATTCCGGCGGTGCTACGTGAGTACTCTCGAGATGGCCTCGTGGACGGACCGCTCTAGCGACGAAACAAGCACAGCACAGCTCACAGACGCAACACAGTCTTAGCAATGCAAATGCTTTTCTTGTGCTCAGCAAAAACGTCTCTACTCTCGCGGTGTGGTGATTGCTCGGTGCGTTGCGGGCTCTATGGTGTGTGTCTCTCTCCTTGTGCTTGTGCTTGTGGTGTAGTGAACTTTGCTGCGGACTCGACATTGGCCGGCGCTACTGCATCCTCCAGTGTCAGTAGCTGTGTGCACACCTGTACAAGATGTGGCTGTTGCAGCTCGCGGAATCGCAGCGACAGCAGGTCGACAGCAGTGAGCACTTGCATCGGAGCTTCAGCATCACCAGCTTCATCGCACGCGTGCAAGAGCCCGGTCGTCTTTGGATAGCGCTGGCTGAAGTGCGTGAGCACCAGATGACGCGCTTTCGCTTGCCGACCGACGTGAACAGCTTCAGCGATCGTGCAGTGCGCCTTCTCTTTGGCCTCTTTGCTCAGGTCGTCTTCGAAGGTCGCCTCGTGCACGATCAAGAACGCGCCCGTCGCTTTTTCGGCCAACGCGTTGCTGGGTCGGCAGTCTCCGGAGAACGCCAGCTTGGATCCGTCCGTGAACGTCAAGACCGCCGCGTACGACTGCAGCGCGTGGGTCACGGGTACGCACTCGAGCTGCGCAATGGCCAGCGTGTTACGCAGCCAAGTGCGCACACGAGCTGCTTCTGCGTGGGTATCCACTTCCAGACTGCGCGGGTCGGTCTCGTCAAAGCTGAAGCTCTCGACAAAGGAGAACGTGCCTCGCGTCGTGGGGTCCACTGCAGCGTACTCGTCGAGCCAAAAGCGCAGAGCTGACGGCCCGATCACCACCAACGGCTCGGCGCTGGTCCCGTTCGTGCGATGGCTCAGCAGGTGCAGCAACCCCAAGTGATGGTCCGCGTGGTTGTGCGAGATCCAGACACACCGGAGGCGGTCAATGAGCTCCTGCAGGCGCGTTTCGTCCCCACCGACGCATCGGTACATCTGCCCGACACTTCCTTCGCCACAATCGAGCATCAAACCAGCCCACATTGGCTTGCCCTTGTCGGTGTGCTCGCCCGTCGGCAGCTCAAGGTACATGCCCGTGACGTTGCGATACTTTGAAGGGATCGCACAGCCCGTGCCAAGGAACGTGATCCGGCCATCGATCAGGTCAGCAGTGTCCAACGACTTCCGAGGCTCTGGTTGCACCGACGCCGAAGCGACAAAGGCCACAATCGAGCGAACGCTCTCGCGGATCTGGTCAAAGTCAAGTCGCGGCCAGCAGTGTGATGCATCAAAGCCACGACGCGCTCGAGGCACGAGCACGAAGGTCAGCATACTCTCGCCCAGCACGACAGACGCTGCTGCTGCTGCTATTGCTGCTGCAGGCTCGAGGTCGTGAACGGGTCTGCCAGGCAATGGTGGAGAGAGAGTGTTCCAGGACGAGATATCGGGGACCGCTCGCGAGAAACACGCGGCCGCGTCTCTCTGTTCGTGCGCCTCGTTGGACGGAAAAGCTCGCGGCAAGACGGCGTGCAGCTGCGCCTGCAGTTTGGCCGACGCGCGGTGCACTGTCTTCTGGGCACAGGCAGTGTGCCCCAGCAGCACGTGTCGAGCTTGAGGCCCAAAGCTCTGGACCCACGCAGCGTACTTGGAATGATACAGCACACTGGGACCAGCGATGTGGAACACCACATCCACCTGCACTGCTGCCTGCTGCGACGCTGTCGGCGCTCGGTACCGATGGAACAAGAGGCTACTCACGAGCGCATCCACGTGCGCAATCGATGGACAGCTCAGGATCACACACGCTGCTGCTGGCACCGACGGCTCGACGCAGTCTCTGGACAGGACAACGCGACCGTCCGGCAGCGTCACGTCGAGCCCCTGATGCAGGTGGCCAAACATCTTCCCCTTGGGCACACCGAAGGCCAATGCACGCTCGACCAGGAACTTGCCTCGCTGCGGCTTCGTCTCGACGACGTAACTCACGCCCACGTGCCGGTCGCTCGCGTCGCTTTCGGCCTGCGACAGCGTCTCCCTGAGCTTTCGTTTCGCGCCACTGTGGGCGTTCGCGACGGCAACGGCGTACACCACTACGTCGTTGTCTTGATAGCAGCTCAATGGACGTGCGGTCGTCGGGTCTCCTGTGCTCGAGATCGGCACTGGTCGCTCTTCGGACGCTGTCAACTTGAACTGAGGACGGTGCAAGAAGTGGCGCGTGGCGTTCAAGTACGTCTGCAGACCCGGCGGCCCGTGCACGTGCAGACCCGACTTGCCCGAGTCCGAGACCGTGAGCACCATCCCAGGAAGTCCCCCGACTGTGTGGGTCCGCAGTTCGGTCAAGAACACGTGCTGCAGCTTGGCGAGTCGCACGTGGTGCTCCATGCACAAGCGCTGCGTGCCATCGCCGACGTTGAAGAGGAACCTGCGCGGGATCGAGTCAACGGGTACACAGAGCAGTTAGAGACAAGCGATGGACGACGTCGGGACTTCAGACCGCGCGGAGCTTTCTTCACAACTCGGGTACGCACCGCCGGGTATCGGTAGCCAACAAGAGACTCGGCGCCGTCTCACTCGACTGCACACTCAGCACTTGGACCTGCACGACCATACTGGAGACAAGGGAAGAGCTATTGACTGGCTGAGAACGCGCGGACCGGGTTTTGTACCCATGTGACGAAGCTCTTCGGATCGTGTAGCCAAGTGGCACCTGTCCCGGCTAAGTCAGTCAGCTGCTTTGCGTGAGCAGCTCAGGTATCATACGTGGACGACGACGACGTACCAACGCCCGTGGCGCAGAAAAGCTGCAAGGACCGGATCAACAAGCGCTGCGTGGAGCGTTTGCTGTAGCAACGAGTTACTCGTCGCTTATTCGATGGAGACGGGCAAAGTGGCTGGCGGTCTGTTCCGAACGTCCTGTCGACAGATGATGCGAAGAGCATGCGGACAAACACACGTCGCCGTGCGATACGTTTGTCCGAAGGTTGACCGGACGAACAAAGCATCCGATGTCGTGATGCATATGGTGCGAATCAGCCACTGCGTCATGGCTTCTCTCTCCTTCTAGTCGTGCCATGTGTGCTGGCTCTAGTCGCGACGTTGCGATGCTCCATAGTATCAACAACTGCATCATCATCATCATCATCATCATTGTCATTATCATTATCGGGCACGTTTAGCGTCTTGATGATTGCACGAAGTACGTAGGACTACAGAGAGAACGACGGAACACCAAGTCCCGATGTTGTTGATTGGTAGGAGGAGATCGATGACAACGCACTGGTCAATGTTCTCTTGTTGGCGTGCGGGTCAGGCAATGAGTGAGTCCTCGCGATCGTACCCTTCGTCTGTCGCTCAGCCCAATGGCGTCATGTGACGTGGTCAAAACCGTAGCAAAAGACGAACAATCGTGCGCAAAGAAGACGGACAGCACGTCTGGATCGAGTCACCTCCACCCTACGTGCAAGTTGGCATCAACATAGAGCCTCCTTCGCTCTCAAAGTCGCCACTCGGTAGGATGGGGCTGTGGAATGACTACATACTGGACGAAAGGCAGTTGAGGATCAAAAGACGTCTATTTTGCCGACAATGGCTCTGGTGTTTGACTTCTCCGCATAATGGGTCGACGACGAACAAGTCCGTAGGTAGCACTGGACCGCCGTTGCCGCCATTCTGCTTTGAGAAAACGGTTTGCTGACGGGTTACACAAGTAGCGAGCGAGCGAGCGAGTACGAGTACGAGTAGCATCAGATATATACCTGGCAACCCCTCAGTGTAGAAAGCGTGCACGACAGGACGTCCCACGTGGTGTGCAAAAGCGACACGCGCCACATGCACTTCCTACCTGATCGTTGATCTGCATTGGTAACAACATGGCATCGCACGATGCGCGTTGTTGCACACGCGGATCCCGTCGTCAAACCGGCCGCGACGTGGCGACGGAAACCCAAACAACAACAGCGTGTGCAACAACACCTACTCGCGGCCACAGACAGGAAGCGGGTTGCCACTGCTTTTTCACCGAGAGATTACCACCAGGTCCGATCGTGGTCATCCATCCATCCGTTCGTCCGTCCGTCCGTCCATCAATCGCCTGTCCGTACAACATTCACACACATACACATACACTGTGCAAACGACGTGTCGATCCCCGGTAGGTTTTATGCATCCGCTAGCGAGCAAGCAGATGTCTGCACTTACAGCAATCCGTTTCTCGACGCGGTCGAACGTTCCATCCGGAGCAAACGATGACGACGGCGTTGCAGCAGTAGGCTCCTCACACACAGACGTCCCGTTTGATCGGCCTGGCATCTCCGTCTGGTGGTTATAGTTTGATCGTATGTATGTGTGCATGTGTGCATGTGTGTGTGTATCTTTGTATGTTGTATCCTTCCCGCTTGTTGCCATCTTTTGATGCGGTGCTCCCAGTTGACCACCAAATATTGGCAGGCGAGCACTGCCTTTACATCCACACGACCACAGCATGTGTAGCGTTGCGGGCGGATTCGTGGTACCGGCTCGAGCTGTGCTGTCGTTGCCGTTCTTTAGCACTACACGACACGTAGACACAATGTGCTGTTATTCGCATGAGGAAAAACGTTTCGTTTGTCAGAAGTCGGTCATTCGCGTCCGGACGTAACACGTCGTTGGCTTTTATACGTCGCTAGCGAGCGCGTGGACGGTGTCGAGACCACTCGTACGATCGAGCTACAAGTCGCGTGCGAGAACAAAGTAGTCTTTTGGTGGCGCAATGCTGCAGCTACCGGCGCGACTTCATAGCTCGTTACTGATGGGGTTTCTAGGACATCGACTCCTTCCTACAGTCGGAACATGCGTTGGACTAGAAGTAGTGAGTGTTGCAGTCTCGTGCCTTTTGGGTCCGAAACAGCTCCGCATCGGGCAGACCCGACAGCCTCAAAGTGCCCATCGTCTGTTTCGTCGTCGAGACGCCTCCGCTTCGAGCATCGAGAGCTCGTTCCCGCTCTCTCTCGTACTCTCTCTCTTGTCTTTTTTGATCGTCACGTCGAAGCGCTGTCAAGCAACGACCGAGTGGATGGCCACAAGCTCTGTACTACCGAAGCAGAACGTGCATTGGAAATAGAAAACCGACGAGCGTATTGCATACAGCTGACAAGAGAAGGGAGCGACCTGACGTCGTGTGGTTTTTGCCGCCCTGGACGAGCTTGGCCTGCTCCGGCTTTGAGTCTGCTCGACGGTTTTTGCTGTCCTGATACACAGCGCAGACCGTTGCGGGCGCCAGTAGTCAGCCCTCGCAGTATCAACCGCCGTTTCGGCGCAAGCTTCGGTCACACGTATGTAACAGGCGAGCAGGACCTGACCGCACTGGTAGCACGTAGCACGTGATCAGGATCGGGAGCCGAAATCAGGTGAAGCAGATACGACCGCGATGCTGCACGCCACGCGGCGGCCACGGGTTCTCGTATGAAATGGCAGCAAATGCGTCTGTTGCCTTGCGATCTGTACGGGAACGTACGTTGATGCTACGCGACGACAGCAGCAGCAAACGAACGTCTCCGTTATAGTGTCCTCGCCTGATCGCTATGAATAGAGCAAAACGAAACGACATGCGCCGAGCCCTTAGAATCATCGACCACAATGATGGGCGCTATTCATTGCGTTTGAAAGACGTGTCCTCGACATACTATTCGCAGCGAGCTGAGTCTACTTGCTCCACGTCGAAAACGTTGCTCGCCATACGCGCAATCAATCAGCTGACACTGATGACGACGCTGAGGAGGACACAGACCACGGAGGAGTTCCTCGACGTCGACGGATTGTTTATTAGCGCAAGGTCCCCACACTCAGAGGCAAAAAGAACAACGTCAAAACATCGGCCACGATCGAGCGTCTCACGGACATCATCTATCGAGGCGCCCACTTTGGGTTCTACCGACTAAAGTCGCTGATCTCGAATGTCCCACTCTCGACTGCCTCGTCCAGCATGACACGGCCGGCACGAGGCGGACAGGTCGCACGTGGCTCCTGTGGTACTACTCCTGCGAGCGGATCACATCTCTAGACGCAAACACCTCTTTCGACCGAGTGGCCAGAGCGACGTCATGAATGTGGTATTGTCCTTCATGCGTGAGCCCGTCGGTCGTCGCATAGTCTCAAAAAACTGAACGTGGTGGTGGCCAACGCGGCCCGCACCTCGACACCGACACGAAGCGAACGTTTACGCAAGTCGTCCGACTCGTTTTTCCTCACAGCAGACTGCGCGTCTGTCGCACGGCTCTTTCTCGTGCCACGCTTGTTTTCTTGGACGTACGGCTCTTGCCAGTGTGTCTCCGATCGCGACAGCCTCGCAGGCTTCTTTTCCACGGACTGCTCGTCGGAGAAGAAGGTCGACGCCGGTTCGATCTGGCCCGAACTCGATCTTTCGCCCGCACGTGACGCTAGGGCGGCCGTCTGTCGCCCCGGAATCCCGTGAGGCCCAGCGGTGTCCAGCGCCAGCATCAAGATGCACGAACGACCGGGAATCCTGCTTCCCGGTGCCTGGGGTTTTCTCCAATCTCTTGCATCATCACACCCTCCTCTCTTCTTGCGCGCGTACCGCACACCTCCGTGTCGCAAACCTTCCCGACGTTAGGTGCCAATGGGGATGCGTCAGTGTCGCTGCTGTGTAGTGCAGGCATATCATCGCCATCCTCCTCAACACATCGATCGAAAGACCTCCGCGTCGCAAGCCCCGACATACAATCGACTTGAGCTTTCTTCGCGTGTATCCTCCTCCTACAGGTCCCAACGTTGAACCTCCCGGTCCGGGAAGCGAAACCCGACGAGCGCCGCGCCAAAACAAACACTAGACACCTCTCTCTCTCTCTCGCTCTCGCTACCTAACCATATGACCTATCGGCTCGTGCACTCGTCGTGCAACAAGCGCGTGAAAAAAGTGTGTGTGGCTTCTTCACAATGCTGTCGAGCGACGAACGATACCAACGACGATCGCATGGTGCTGCTGAAGCGCGAGCGACGAGTGAGCAAGCGTCCAAAAGCTCGGGATAGTGCACTGCTCGCGCCCCACAAACAGCAGCAGCAGCAGCAAAGGCACAACGGGTTGTCCCATGCCGACACTGGCGTGCACTTTGGTCCTCGACGTTGTGGTTGAGGCAGGATAAAGTCGAGGATCCAAGATCTGCGCCAGCGGCTCCGTACTTCTCTGCTCCGGACGTCGACGTTTGTGGGTCAGCGCACACATCTGCAGCTGCAGCTGCGCCCTGACGCAGACGGGACGCGTCGTGCGCTGCAATCGGCGAACGGTTGCGCGCGGGCTGTCCACAGTCCCGTCCGAGTCGCGTCGAGGCGGCCCCGTGAACGTGGACACGTCAAGGGGCGACACAGTGTGCATAAAGTCGCACAACGCACCAAAGGACATGTCAGACACTGCGCAGCGTTCTTGCGTTGCTGCTCGCCCAGAGAGGTGCGCTCCTGTAGCGCACTCGTGCGCCAAACCGAATCCCGTGTCGCTGCTGCACATCGGTGCGCAGTCGATTGGCAGCGCAAATTTGCTCTCGACGAGGGGCAGAAAGGATCACATATGCGATACATGGCGTAGTAATCGATCGCGGGTAGCCAGGCGGAACGCGCCATCGGGCCACGCGACCTCTCTGTGCGCCATGACCGAATCCGGGGCCGGACGTAGCGTGTGTACACGTCGTTCCCCCGCACTCGCACGACCCGACTTGTCCGAGCAGCTGGAAGACGGTCGAAGTTGCGAGGCAAAGACAGACGACGCACTGGTGAGTGGCATGCTCACCGTGCAACAAACAAACAGCAGCGCCCCAGGAGGAGCCCGTGCACGTGCTGTTGTCGACTGACTGGCCCCACCTTTTTGCGACAGCATGTGTCCTCCTCTACAGATGGCCATGTGCTGCTCTTATGTCTGGTGGCATGTCACGGGTTAGGCGCGTGCACGAACGACCGAACGAACGAGAGGCGGTCGAGAGACGACACGACAGGCCAAAGCGTCGACACGAACGCGTTGCTGCTCGACCGTCCAGTCCATTTTCTGTCTCGCTCCAGCAACAGGACAAGACGCGCTGTGCAGAAGCAGTTGCAGCCGCAGCCGCTCGAAGGGTTCTGCTATCACCCACAATATGCGGACACAAACAAGTGCGAGCCGAGATCGAGATCGAGACGAGCCAAAGTCGGCCAACGGGTCTCTTCTCTCTGCTTTTCTCGATCGTGAAAGATCCAGTGCACCGAGCGAAAAGGGTCGACTCGCGAGATGTAAACACTTGGGCGCGACGGATGTCCCCCACGTGTTCGGTCCGCGCTCCTCCTTTCGAGTCTCTTTTGACGTCGAGTCGACCACCACACGAACCTTTACAAAAACACGTTGCACGACTCGCATTACAGTCGTTGCGGCCTCTGTCGTTGTCGCGCAGACGTCCTGCGCTCGCGACTGTTGTTCGTTCACGTGTCTTGTTCGCCTTTGTCGTCCCGTATCTATAGTAGATCCATCCCGTCCGTGCCCCCTCTCTCTCTCTCTCTCTCTCTCTGTCCCCGTCTTTGCACAGTCCGCGCGCGAGACGCCTTTACGACCGGATCTGCTCTCGGCGCGCGGGACGGAACAAATCCAGCGGCTCGTTTGTTGCCCCTACCCCCCCCCCCCTACCCGCCCCCCCCCGCGTCTCGGACGCCCAGCTGGTGTCGACTCGTTGCCAAGCGGTCTAGACCATGTGGTCGACCCCTCTCCCCCCCCCCCCGCTCCCCGCTCCTGCCCCCCCTTGTCGCTCGCGCACAGAAAAAAAGACAGTCGCCAGCCTTTCTGCCGACGCCTCGTTCAGGCCATGTGCGACCTGGTCAAGCGGGCAGAAAAAGAGCGACGCGCTCGGCCGTCGTTCAATCGCGACGCGCGGGCGGCATACAAACGCCCACACGTCGTCCGCCACGAGGCGACCAAAACCCCCACCACCACCACCAAAACGGGTTTGTTTCCACGTGCCGACCCATCATCCGCCTCCCCCCCTCTCGCCCGTCTGAGCCGCTCACTCACTCGCCTCCCACATTGCTCACTCTTGAATTTGCTTCGGTCCCCGCCGAACGCACTCTCAACCGCCACCCCACCCCCTGCACCGGTTCACCAACCGCCACCCATCCCCTGCACCGACCCGAAGAGTCGCTCCCCCCGCTTCGTCCTTCCTCGCTCTCCTTTGCTAGTCATCATGGCCACTGACGTGAAGAAACCCACTGGTGCGGCCCCGACCGCGAGCCTCTTGCAGCCCGAGGCCAACGACGCGAGCGAACAAGTGCCGGAAGTCTACCGGTCGCTCAACTTCCGCAGTCTCCAGGACCCCTACTCGCACAACCGCGACACGATGGCGAGTCGCTACAGCACGTTGCGGGCCGACGACCTCGACACGATGCTCACGGGCGGCCTCGAGCGCTTCTACAAGAAGTACGACCACCTCTCAAAGAAGATCAACTTGCAGCTGCCGACGCCGGAAGTCCGGTTCGAGAACCTGTCGTTCTCGGTCCAAGTGCCGGCGACTGTCGGGGCCAAAGCTACGGTCGGGAGTTACCTGAGCTCGATCTTCACGCCGTGGAAGAAGGTGCCCATGAAGACAAAGCACGCGCTGCACCCCATGACGGGCATCATCAAGCCCGGGTCCATGACGCTCGTGCTGGCGAACCCCGGGGCCGGCAAGTCGACGTTCCTCAAGGCCATGGCCGGGAAGCTCCAGGACAATGACCAGACGGACATTGGCGGCGAGATCCTCTACTCGGGTCTGCGCGGCGAAGAGATTGACCTCATTAAGCTCGTGGGCCTCGTGGACCAGACGGACAACCACATCCCGACGCTCACAGTGCGCGAGACGTTCAAGTTTGCCGACATGTGCGTCAACGGCCGCCCCGACGACCAGCCGGAAGAGATGCGCGACATTGCAGCGCTGCGCACGGAGCTGTTTCTGCACATTTTGGGACTCGAGAACTGCGCCGATACGGTCGTCGGCGACGCACTGCTCCGGGGCGTGAGTGGCGGCGAGCGCAAGCGCGTGACCGTGGGCGAAGTGCTTGTGGGGGGCCAGAGCTTCTTTCTCTGTGACGAGATCTCGACGGGTCTCGACAGTGCCGCGACGTTTGACATTATCAAGTCGATGCGCACGTTCTGCAAGACGCTCGGGGGGTCCGTAATGGTCGCCCTGTTGCAGCCCACGCCGGAAGTCGTCGAGATGTTCGACGACATTTTGATGATCAACGAGGGCTACATGGTCTACCACGGCCCGCGCACGGAGATCCTCGACTACTTCCAGGGCTTGGGCTTCACGTGTCCGCCTCGTGTCGACCCGGCGGACTACTTGATTGAAATTACTTCGGGCCGTGGCCACCGCTACGCCAACGGAGTGGTCCCGGTCAAGGACATGCCCGTGGCGTCCGAGGACTTCCACAACCTCTTTTGCCAGTCGTCGATCTACAAGAAGACGCACGAGCTGATCAGCAAGGGCTTCAACGAGCACCAGTTTGAGAGCGCCGAGGACTTTAAGAAGGCCAAGAGCGTGGCCAACCTGGCACGCTCGAAACAGCAGTCGGAGTTTGGACTGGGGTTCGTGCCCAGCACTATGCTGTTGCTGCACCGTCAGAAGCTCATTTGGCTGCGTGATCCGCCGCTGTTGTGGGGCAAGCTGCTGGAAGCGCTCATCATTGGTCTGGTCATGGGCATGATCTTCTTTGACGTGAGCTCCACGTACTACCTCCGCATGATCTTCTTCAGTATCGCGCTGTTCCAGCGTCAGGCGTGGCAGCAGATCACCATCTCGTTCCAGCTCCGCAAGGTCTTTTACAAGCAACGCCCGCGCAACTTTTTCCGCACCACGTCGTACACGATTGCCGAAAGTGTGGTGCAGATTCCAGTCAACTTTGCTGTGTCGTTCGTGCTGGGCACGTTCTTCTACTTCATGAGTGGCTTGACGCGCACGTTTGAGAAGTTCGTGGTGTTCTACATCGTGCTGCTGAGTTTCCAGCACGCGATCAGTGCATACATGACGATGCTAAGTGCGCTGTCGCCGAGTATCACGGTCGGCCAGGCGCTGGCGTCGATCTCGGTGAGTTTCTTCCTGCTGTTCTCGGGCAACATCATCTTGGCCGACTTGATCCCGGAGTACTGGATCTGGATGTACTGGTTCTCTCCGATCTCGTGGGCGCTGCGCAGCAACATGTTGTCCGAGTTCTCGGCCGATCGATACACGTCTGAGGAAGGCAGGACAGTGCTGCAGAGCTTTGCGATCACGGAGGGCACGGAGTACATTTGGTTCGGTATCATCGTGCTGATCATCTACTACTTCGTGTTCACGTCGCTCAATGGTGTGGCGCTGCACTTTATCCGGTACGAGAAGTACAAGGGTGTGAGCGTCAAGGCCATGACTGACAAGGACAAGCCCAAGGACGATGACGACTGTTACGTCAAGGTGAACACGCCCGGCGGTTTAGGGGACACGAACTCGCCAAACAAGGGCGGTCTGCCGTTCACGCCGTCGAACCTGTGCATCAAGAACCTCGAATACTTTGTGACGTTGCCATCGGGTGAGGAGAAGCAGCTTTTGAACGGTATTACGGCACACTTCGAGCCGGGCCGCATGGTGGCCCTCATGGGCGCGACGGGTGCTGGTAAGACGACGCTGATGGATGTGATTGCCGGCCGCAAGACGGGTGGCCGCATTGTGGGCGACATTATCGTGAACGGCGAGCCCAAGAATCCTGACAACTTCAGTCGGATTACGGCGTATTGTGAGCAGATGGACATCCACTCGGAGGCTGCTTCGATCTACGAGGCGCTCGTGTTCTCGGCCAGATTGCGTCTTCCGCCCAACTTTACGGAGGAGCAGCGCATGAACTTGGTGCACGAGACACTGGACCTGTTGGAGCTGTCTGCTATCTCTGGTGAGATGGTGGGCAGTCTGTCGGTGGAACAGAAGAAGCGAGTGACGATTGGTGTCGAAGTGGTGTCAAACCCGAGCATTCTGTTCCTCGACGAGCCGACGAGTGGTCTGGACGCCCGTTCGGCGCTGATCGTGATGCGCGGTGTGCAGTCGATTGCTCGCACGGGCCGCACGGTGTTGTGTACGATCCACCAGCCGAGTATTTCGATCTTTGAGCTCTTCGACGGTCTGCTGCTACTGCAGAGGGGTGGATTCACTGCGTACTTCGGTGACCTCGGCGACGACTCGGTGAAGATGCTCGAGTACTTTGCTTCGATTCCGGGCACGATGGAGATTCGTCCGCAGTACAACCCTGCAACGTACATGCTGGAGGTGATTGGCGCCGGTATCGGCCGTGACGTCAAGGACTACTCGGTGGAGTACAAGAACAGTCGGCTGTTTGAATCAAACCGCGAGCGCACGCTGTTGCTGGCGCAGTCATCGGGCGAGTTCATCCGTCACTCGACGTTGAACTACCGACCGATTGCCACTGGATTCTTGAACCAGCTCAACGCGCTGGTCGTCAAGCAGCAGCTCACGTACTGGCGCAACCCGCAGTACAACTTCATGCGCATGTTCCTGTTCCCGCTGTTCGGCGTCATCTTTGGCACGACGTTCTACCAGCTATCGGCGAGCAGTGTGGGTCGCATCAACTCGCACATTGGTCTCATCTACAACAGCATGGATTTCATCGGTGTGATCAACCTTATGACGGTGCTCGAGGTCACGTGCGCCGAGCGTGCAGTGTTCTACCGCGAGCGCATGTCGAACTACTACGGGCCGCTGCCGTACAGTCTGTCGCTGTGGTTTGCGGAAGTGCCCTACTTGATTGTGGTCATCATCCTCTTCGTCGTGATTGAGTACTGGCTCGTTGGCTGGAGCTCGAACGGAGGCGACTTTCTCTTCTTCATGTTCATCTTCTACCTCTACACGTCGGCGTGTACCTACGTGGGTCAGTGGATGTCGGCCCTGATGCCGAACGAGAAGGTTGCCAACGTGGCGGTGGGTGCCGTCTCGTGTCTGTTCAACCTGTTTTCGGGCTACTTGCTTCCGCGCACGGCCATGAAGGCTGGGTACAAGTGGTTCACGTACTTGATGCCGTCGAGTTACTCGCTCGCGGCTCTTGTTGGCGTGCAGTTCGGTGAGGTGCAGGACGTGATTGCCGTCACGACCAACGGCGTGACGAGCGATATGACGGTGGCGCAGTACATTGAAGACATCTACGACTTCCGTCCGGACAGCCGCTACAACTTCATGATCGGCCTCATCATCATTTGGCTCGTGCTGCAGGTCGCCATCTACTTGACGTTCAAGTACGTGAGCCACCTCAAGCGATAAGCGGTGACGGCAAGCGAGAGAGCGAGTGAGGAGAGGGGGGGGTCTACCTGAGCTGGAGAAGGAAAAGTCGGGTCGTTGATCAACTTTGCACCGGTCAGAGGGAGCCGGTCTTACATGCACGTTGGTCTGGCGAAGCTGCTCGTGTGATTCGCATACGAGCAGTCGTTTGGCTTGCACTTGTCCGGGTCAGTGTAGACGACGACCAGACTGTGGTAATCGCGACGAAATAGATGATGCATTGTGTTCTACATTCATTATTGGTATCCATTCTCTGCTCTCCTCCTTCGCCCTTTTGCAGCATTGGCCTCTCCCGCTGGACTACTGATTGTTTGCGCACGTAGGCATTTGTTTATGCAGCATACACAGCATATACAGCATATGCAGTGTATAGGAAGAGATACACATATCCACAACGTCTTGTTGCTATGACGTCTGGACGACATTGCTACACCGCAGTTCACACAGACGCACAAGATGATTGCTGGTGCTCTACGGATGACTGTGTGCCGGAAAGACTCCAACCACCAAACGTGGTGGTCGACCGAAGGCAACCCGGTGGGTTCGTTGTCGACGGGTGGGTTTGTTTTCGACGGGTGGGTCGTCAGGAAACGGGTTCAGAAAGCTTCTTGTTCGAGAAGAGAGCTCTTTCGTTCATCCATTCGTCTCCACGTTGTTGCTACATTTGCTGTCAACACATTGTGATCACTCTGTTGAGTGCTCGTTGTTTTCTGCACTCGTCAGCTACGTGTCGCTTGTAAGCTCTTCTTCTTGTCGCACACGTACCACCGCCAAGTCACGCGCCGACGATCCCGCGTTGCAAAACATAAAGCGTTCCATTTTGTAGTCGATGTGCCCAGTGCTGTGAGGTCAGTACGCTTCTAAGACCCGTCGAATCATACACACTCCACTCGGCTTTACTTCATCCATCACACATGACCGGCAAGCCGAACGAGGAAGGCGCCGTCAACTTTGCCCTTTCGACGTGCGCATCAGGATCAACGTCTCGGTCTACACGGTGCCACTCTTGCGTCACGTCCCTCTGGCTTGAGCCAGGCACACAAACGTCTTGCAGCTCCAACACTCCCTGTCTGCTTTACTTGTCACGGCTCTGCCTGTGCTGGCCGCGCTGACGGCACGCTATCGCTCGGGAGTGGATAAGCCATGAAACGACAGTGTCGACGTCGAATCGACACTGTCATGCTCTGGCTTGTCCACTGACGAGCGATTCTGAGAGAGACGTCGGAGAAGCATGTTTTCTGCCTCCTCTGCGCCCATCATGCCTCACTCCATTCCGAAATCGGCTACTTTGGCACATGGGTTGTTGACGATTTGTGCAAGACGTTGCCGCTCTACTGCAGACAGAAGGTCATAATGGGTCACGCCAATGCTCGAAGCTGCATACACCTGGCGAAGGGGGGGGGCTTACAGCACTGCTGAGAGAAGCAGCAAGTACAGCTGCCGGCACATCAGCACTAAGCTTCGGGGCAGTTAAGGTGTGATTAGTTGGATCATTTGATTAAAATTTTGTTAGTGCGATACAACTTTGGAACGCTTCGGCTGCAGACGATCGGTAGCGCAAACGTAAGCCGCCCTTTCCTGTGTTCTCTTTCCTGTCGTGTCACATGGTCGTCCGTTTGTGCATACCAGAAGGGTCTAAGACGATGTGCGACAGCCTTGTGGCCCGGCGTGAGCTGTACCCGTGTATGAGTGGGGCGTAGCGCCTCGCTGCCACCTGTTCATGCAGAGGGATTTGTTGACGTACCGGTCCATACCGTCATAGAGAAGAGACCAGACGCGACATCAGTCCTCCATCGCACTTGTTCATTCGCAACGCACGCATCAGCACGACCCTCACCTCGAGAGCGGGATAGGAGTAAGCAGTCATGCACCTGACCCACGTGATGCTCGGCGTGCTCATGAACTTACTTCTCTCCCTCTCGATCAGAGATGCACTTGCATTGGCTTCACAAAGTGATGCGGTGCCAGCTCGACAACTGGAGCCCGCAGCAAACGACGTGCAAGGCGCGAGCAAAGGGGTGTTGCATCCTGCCAACAGCATTCATATCGGACGCGTGCACGAGCAGAAAGGTGAAGAACGAGCACTTATGCATTTCGAGAATTTGTTCAATAAGCTTGCCACAACCGTTAGAAAGATCAAGCCCGGCAGTCCTCCCCCGAGAGACGAGCTGATCAAGCTTTTCAAGAAGATGGCTAATGAGGAGACGTACCTACTGTCAATGGGGCATCTACATGGTGTCTCCGCGGCCGAGGCACGGCTCATCCTACACTCTGCTTCGATCTTCAAGTTGGCGATGGACAAGGGGACAAGGCCGATTGACATGTACAAGGAGGTATTTTTCACAGAGGGCCACGAGGCTGCACTTGCACAGATGAAGCTGTACCGCAAGTTCCTCCACAACCCAAGGCATTTCTTGATACTTGAACATCACTGGATGGTATTCAACAAAGAGTTCTGGGAAGCCGTGGATGCCGTTGGAATGGGAACGGTTCAGTGGATTTTCAACAGAGGGGGCATACGTTTCGCGTTCAAATAGCGAAAAGCTGTAACGCGCGTTCATACACGTGTCTCCCGTTCTCAGCAGCGCCTTACTACGTGTGTCTCCCATTAGCTGCATCGAGTTGACAACGTTGTTGTGCTGCAACCAATCACCTATCTAGGCCTGACCATCAACTCTTCGCTACTTCGCCGGCCGTAAGACATCATCATGCTGTCGTGGCTGGATCACACGTCATGGCAGCAAAGTGCGACAGCAAAGCTCGCCCTTTACCTCAGTCATCGTATCTGAGTCCAGTCACTGCGAATCAATTGCATTCAATCTTAGCTTGTCTATCACTAGCATCATCGCGCAAGGTGATACAACCACACGTTATTTACAAGAGGCGATATAGAGGTGATTCAACAGCGAGTGTTCTCGACGATAATGGTATGCATGTAATACGAGAGAAGCTCACCTCCTCACAATCCGTGAGCGAGTCAGTAGTCGTAGAGATCTAAGGAATACGCGTCAATCGACCGACTGGCAAAATGGTATGGGTACAAATGCGCGCGATCCAGTTAGCTGACAGGCACTAGGAAACTCTGGGACGCAACGCAAAGCATCGTGGGCTGCAGTATGTATGTAGCATGCATATCCCGGGATTGAGCTTGAAGTGACACACTGCTTTGCTGGTGAAGCAGTGTATTTTTTTCGTGTGCAAAACAGGTAGTTGGAAAGGGCTGCAGAGCTAGTGAGAGACATGTACAGACCGGTGCTGGAACGCATCGCAGATGTAGATAGCTGCCGGTCAAGTCAACAAGAACAAAAAGAAATGGAAGACGAAGCTCGTCGATCAGCGCAACAACGGATGTTGCGGTGTAGGATGAACTGCGGTAGTGCTCTTGTCAACAAGAGTTAGTGTGGAACAACATCGCAGTAGCTCGTGATACAGATTCCATTGTGGCGCGACGGTACTTATCGATTGAGCGGAATGAGGCGTATGCCGGGTTTTGCCCACTTTGAAGTCATTCTGACGATCCGTACGATTCCCCGCTGTCCAAAACGCCGGATCCTGACGAACTGAGGAAAACGCTCTGGAGGCCGTGTAGACAGCGTTGGCGTATCGTACATTTCAACGCGACGTGCTTCTCACTACACATGCTGCGATTTTGCACGGGCTCACTAAGAAGCTCGTAGAGGAGATATATGACCTCAGCTGTAACGGGGCAGCCCGTTACATGGAATTGTCACTTTAAAGAAAGTGACAATAAAGAATATTAAGTTGAATATTCTTTGAACAATATCACCTATAGTGGTGATATTGGTGAGGCGACCAAAGGGTCTGCTCATTGGTTGATATCTTGATGATATCAACCCACCAATCGCCGCAGGACGCGCGCAATGAGTGGTGACGAGACGTCACCATACACTCAGTTATATTAGTATAATTAAGTTAAGTCAAACAGAAGAGACAGTTGTTAAAAGACTTAATTATATTAACATAACAATTCTACTTTTACCCTACCTACGCTTCCTCGCTTGCCACGTGTACGTCTGTCGGGTCACCGATAACCCTTGCGTTAAGTTCACGCAAGGGTGTGCCCCGTTACACCTGGTAGCACTTTGTAGTCCTTCCAAGGACCACATCATCCAACATGAACATGTTGGATGAAGAAGAGACCTTTCACGCCACGCGTGAAGGGTTTACCCATTTGAGTGACATCGAATGAAGTGCGGTAGAACGAATGAGTTTTACCGTAGGCGAGTTCGCCATTAGCGCCATGTTGGAGTCTCTAGACAGAGACCAACAACATGCCGCTATAGCCAAGTTCATTCAAAATGAACTTGTCGCCGAAAGGGAGAAAGTAGCCTTGCTTCACCAGCAAGGCTCTCAACAGGCCGAGCAGTTGAGAGAACTCGGTGCTCAACAGACAGAGATGTTGAGACAGCAGCAATTCCATGCTGCTGTGGGCGGGACGGCACATGCGCGTCGTCCCGAAGTCATGAAAGTTGACATCTCCAAGTACAGTGGAGTCCCGGAAGACTCCCTGTTACTATGGTTTGTCGAACTCGACAGAGCCCTAAGGGCTCGTCGCGTCGAAGATGAGCAAATGAAACTCACATTTGCTCAAACCCACTTGGCAGGACGTGCCAAAACTTGGTCCCTGGGGCTCGAGAGTAGCGACCCAAATGTGTTTAGGTCGCTAGATGACTTCAAGTCCCGGCTCAGACAAACGTTTGAGCCGCCACGGGCTGAGTTCAGGGCTCGTTCAGAGCTCCTGAAACTCAAGCAGGGTAAGCGTGATGTGCACGCTTACGCTCAACATATACGACTCCTCGCGAGTAGTATAACTGCTAACCCAGTATATGAACACACGTTGATTACGGTGTTCATGCAAGGGCTCGCAGAAGGGCCCGTCAGGAACCACCTGTTCCGCCTTGAGCTGAATAAGCTCGAAGATGCGATATCAGCCGCGGAACAGGAAGACTTTAGCATGAGAC